ATGACATAAATTGAAGACATTTTTAGAATTAGAAGGAGAAGGTTCACAAGAACAAAGAACAAGCTTAGAAAGTTGAATGAAAAAAATGAATATGAATATGGCTATTTATAATGGTACATTGGATTCTCAGTCATTCAATGCTTCACCACGTTTTACGAGTGATGGTGACCTCTCTATTCATACAGATCAAGAGATAGTGACTTCTCAAGATTCCAAGGCTACTCTCTCGTACAAAGTTTATCTATAAATATGTTCATCCAAGGCCACATGTTTTCATTCAAACTTGCATTTATCTTTGTTCTCTGTTTCTCTCTGTCTCTCTGTCTTTGCTTCCATTACTAAAAATGTTGTTCTGGAAGCAAAATGAACACAGGTCCGCCTTCATTGGAAGAACGGTAAGTTTTACACATTAGCATTATTAACTGTATATGTAAATCAATATTCTACATAGAATGTTGCTAATGTATTAATAAATGCAGGAAATTGAAAACATGATTTCATCTTTCTGTCATTCAATGCCAGAACTCAGTCATTTAATTGTTCCTATACTTGAACAATTTGGTTTTGCTGGGGTAGCAAAACTAAGACATCTTAAGGTGGATCACGCATTGATAACAGTTTTGGTTGAGAGGTGGAGACCTGAAACTCACATATTCCATTTTCCAACAAGGGAGTGCACCATAACCCTGGAGGATGTTGCACTTTAACTCGGGCTAAGAGTTGATGATTTACCAGTCATTGCTCCAATAATGTTTGACTGGGAGGAAATATGTTACGCATATCTCGGTATCGTGCCAGTCAAGGGAGAGTCACTTATTGGCTCTATGCTTAAACTGAAGTAGCTGAGAGACAACATGTTGCCATTACTAGAAGAACTATATGAAGAAGAAGTTCACGCTCATTGTAGGACTTATATACTAGGTTTAATTGGAGGTGTTTTGATGCCTGACAAAACAGGCAATAAAGTACATCTTATGTATTTAGCTTTATTAACTAATCTTAGAAGAATAAGACGATATAGTTGGGGTTATGCTTATTTAGCTATGTTGTACAGGAAAATGTGCAGAGCCACGGAAATTGATAGCAAAACAATGGGTGGTTGCTCATCACTGTTAATGTCTTGGGCATGGTATCGCATGTCATATATTGCGCCAATTTCTAGTAATCTACCAACATACTCTCTTGTGTGCAGATGGAGCAGGGGTAGAGTACTAAACTTTCGAAATAAATCTCACAATGATGTTGTGGGGTACAGATCAATGTTTGATCATATTCAAGCTAATCAGGTAACTCTTCATATCTATTTTCTTATCTTTTACACATCATCTTAAGTAACAAAGTTAAGTTTATTTGTAGTTTTTATGGATGCCATATCAAGACTTGTAAACATCAATACCCATGGAAGCATATAGAGATGTCCAACTGTGGACTTCATGTACAGATAAAGTCAAATTACATTTTTGTCTCTTCTAAGAAGTCTCTTCTCCACCGAATAATTTGAATGACCTTCATAAAATTGACATGAGAGGAAGACATGATGAAAATTGAGTTAGAAGACATGCTCAATGAATCAAGAGATGGAACAACAGATGTGAGCTGACATTAACGGGTCATCCAATGCAAGGCCCATTGTGTCACATATAAGAATACATGGAATGGTACATTGTCAATTTCATCTATTTCCTATCTGTGCCACCACTACTACAAGATCCAAGGAGGAGCGACCAACAATTAAGGACTACCAACACATTTGAAATTGATAAGACTTCCACACCGTCGTACCACGAGACTACATCAATTTCTTTGAACATTACGCCAAAAACAAACATAATTAACACAAGACATTCGTTTGCAACAATATCGGAGGATTTTTTTTTACAAACTTATTAAACAACTCCATCTTCAGCACAAACTTACATGCAGTCTCTTTACTAACTGGATTTTGCTAATGAATCTGGTAATTCATCAAATACATTCCAACAGCTAGACCTTCATGATGATCCAAATCCTCCACAAGTTCATCCTGAAATCCCAGAGCAATAATCACAACGACAAAACTCATCACGTCACAGACGTCGCCCTTGTTGTGGAACTGACCACCATTAACGGAGATAGTTAACTATTAATGTTATTATGAATTTGTTATCATCTTTCTTAATACACTTTATCTTTATCAATTTTACCTTAGTAATATGAAAACGTTAATTTTAAAATATTTGTCTCAAGTATAAATAAATAATTTATAATTTAATATTTTATTTACTTTTTAAAAATAAATTTTTTATTCTCAAATAAAATTTATTAAAAATTATAATAGTAAAGTTTTAGGGTTTATGGTATTAAAATTATTATATTAAATAATATCAATTTTTAAAAAACTAATTTAATTAAAATAAAATTTTTATTCAAAATATCATTTTATCATATTAATATTTTTAAATATTAAGTCAAAATTATATATTTAAATAAATAAATAAATAAACAGAATAAAATTTAATATTTTTATTTAATTTTTAAAAATATAATTATTATTCTTTAAATATAAAAAATTTAAGCATTGACATTATTATCTAAAATAATATACTTATTATTTAAATATTTTAATTATTTTTAAAAAATATTATTTATTATCATAATTATATAAAATAAATTTTAATAAACATATAAAATAAATATTATTATTATTTTTATTCATTGTCACACGACAAAATATAAATATAATAATATAATTTAAATAATAAAATTTATTTTATTATATAAAAATATTAAAAAATTGAAAAAAAAGAGTCCAGATTTCGATTCCCGAGGAATCGAATTCTGGCTGTCCCAATGCATACTGTAGTGAATGGGTCTGCTTCCGTAAATATATGTGTGGTTGGTACTTTTATGTATTTTTTTATTTTTTCTATATTTTTCCTGTAAAAACTTTGTCAAATGCAGATGATAATTTTTTAATAAATTATACAATATGCTTACATTTGTTGTCAGTCATACTCCTTCCTCACTCATCAATGAAGACACCAATTTCACCTTCCTCTCCTCGTCTTTATTCTCTAACTCTTCCCTCTCCTTCTTGCACTTTATCATCACCACAAAAAAAATACATGTCCTTTTTCTTTCTCTCCCTATCATAGAGTGGAGTTTCTTGAAGCATTTTACTTCCTTTACTCTCTTCCTTTCTTATTGTTCTTTAACAAGAGTTTTGATAGAAAATACGCTAAGTACAAACTTGTTTATGTGGTGAGAACATATAAAGGTACATATGACAAGGTATTGGCTAAAACAAGAAAGTAATATCTGAAGTTATAAAACTACTAGCTATAAGAAAATTCGATGCAATCCACCTAAATATTTTTGTATCTGACCAACCTCCCACCTAAAGGATCCAAAATCAAAATTAAATAAAACAAGATTAAAGTAATCACTCAATGGTTGTCATTTAATTTTAGTACTTTTGTACTAATGATATTTTTAAGTTTCTTTTTTTATATATATTTAATTTTTTTTCATTTTATTTATTTCTTATATTACATCAACGGTTATTTTTCATTAAATAATATTTCTTCACATTTTTATTTATAACTTATTTTTATCTCTCTCGTCTTTTTATATAATATTACTTATCACATATTTTTTTCTTTTTTTTCTATCCTTCTTTTTCTTTCACTCAAACAGATGGTGTCAAAATATTATTGTTCTTTATTATTATTATTTTCTTTTTCTCATACCAGAATCTCATTTCAGAATTAGAAATAAAAATATCATTATCTTGAGACTTAAATATATACTTTCAAATTTTAGTATTATTTTCAATTAACATTCCACTTTCACAGTAAAAATCAATGTTGACCTTTAATATTGATTTTCGTTAAGACATTGATTAATATTTGACTTATTAATTTAGTTTTGCTAATCATGACAATGTTTAAAGAGTTTAAAGTACAATTTTTTTATTAAAAATTAAAAATTTAATTTATTAGTTTTTATTGTAATTTTAATAAAAATTATATTAGTTTTTAAATTTATTTCCTCAGTATAATAATTACCAAAAATGTTATTAATTAGACATCTAGATTTAAAATAAAAATAAAAATAAAAATACTTCACAAATTGCATAGACAAAAGAATAGTGGGATTATATAAGTCTGTATTCCAGCAACGCTTTATTCTTTCTTTGTTGAGGGAAATATGTTTCATCCTTGCATGCTTCTTTAGGAATATTATGTGCCACCAAATAAGTTGCAAAAAAGAACATGTATGTCTAATAGATAGCAAACCAAACAACATAGGTGCTCAAGACCAAAAAGACAAAAAAGTCAAGTAAAATGGATATAAAGTTCAAGATAAATAACAAAACAAATATCAGTTTCTGGGAAAATTACCTAAGGACGTTGGCTGAAATCTAATACAAATAGAACTTTAACAAAATTCACATCAATTTCATTCAATATGTATACATAAACGATTATGTTATTACAATTCCTCATCAACAACAATGTCAACAAAATACATGGAGCCAGGAATCCATAACAGCAAGAAACTCAATTAAATGGAAGCGAATTAAAAATTTCCGGTAAAAGCATAAGGTGTGATAACAAAAAATTAAATGGTCTATATTATAAATTAATTATCTATATTCTTATGTTCAACCAAACATTAAGTACATATGTAATTGAATATAGTGTTATGTTCTGTTTTAAAAAACATCTTAGGTCTTGCTCTGCTTTATAGTTACCTAATACAATTAACTCATTTTATTTCCGTTCTGTTTAATCACCAAATAAATATTAGGTTAGTATACACTAAAAAAATTAGACATTCAAATAATGAACAGAAGCCCATGAACATGCATTCTTAGTATCCATCCTCAAGCCCAAAACCCAACCCCACTTCGAAATGAACATAGCCCATAGATTCCCTTGTCCAAAACAAAAACGGCCCATAGATTCCGTCTACGCGTTCTTTGTTTCGTTTCCATCTCTCTCCTCCAACGTAGAGAGAGAGAGAGAGAGAGTATCTGTTATTGAAGCAGACTTGGCGTCAAGTCATCTCTTTTTTCGTAATTCCCAAATCACTGAGTCTTCGTTCCATTCCAAATCCAAAATTAATAGTAATAATAGAAAATAGCCCAGTTTTCTCTTCTTATTCTTTCTCTTTCTGATTCCATTCCCAAGGCTTTTGCCCTTTTTTCATCCGTTTACCCACTTCCACGCCACCTACTGATTTTCCGGAAGAGGGTTTCTTCTGATTTCTCTTCGTATATTGTTTCTGGGTTTTTTTTCCCCTCCCGCTTTCCTTGCAATTTTATTTTATTTTTTGGTTTGAAATCAAAGGTGTGCTTGAGGGTGTTGCAACTCGATCACAATGGGAAGACACGTGTTAGTGGCAATTTTGTTGTCGTCTCTGATTCTGTTTGATGCTTCCGATGCTTCCTTTGTTCAGGAACTCAGAAAGTTGGTTGCTTTGGATCCAAAGGACAACATAAAACAGGTGAGTTTATATATATATATATATATATATATATATATATATATATATATATATATATATATATATTTATTTATTCATTTATTTATTTATTTATTTATTTATTTATATTTATTTATGCTTTCTTGCTTTGAATTGCTTCAATTTAATTTTCATTTTTATTTTCTTACGATGGTTGAGTAAAGTTGTCTCCTTTAGGATCCAAACTCTGTTGGTAAAAAAAACAAGGGCCAAGTGGTTAATGGACACACTAATATTTCGCCAGTTCCACAGCCACAACCTGTGCCCAAATTGGACAATGGAAAAGGTGGTAAAAATGGGAGCAATGATACACCTCCTCCTGCAACTGCACCTCCTGTGCCCAAAAAACCTGATGTTGTTGACAAGGGTGCAGAAAAGAAGGGAAAAAAAGAGGGTTTAAGTTTTTCACATACTACAACCACTGAGACTTGTAAGGAGCTGAATATTTGCGCAGATGAAGGGGACATGGTTGCTTGCATTTCTAAAATTGGTATTTTTCAATATTCCGTCTTGCTTTTGATCATTTCATTTAGTCCTTCCATTAATCAATATTTGTTTGTGTGTGTTTGTGTTTAATTTATTTATTTTTTAATGTTTCAATGCAAGTGTTATTAGTTGTACTTTGTTTTAAAAAGTAGGAGGAGGACAGACACATATGAAGAGAGAATTTGGTTCTAGGACAAATGTTTGCTTAGTTCAGGATGGCCTTATTAAACTACTTAGTCCTTGAATGATATGGAATTCTAGTTAGATAGTATTAACCAAATCGGCAGTGTCATTTTAACTGTATGTTCCAGTTTAGAATATACAATTACAAGAAAATTAAGTGTGGTTGAAAAGTGAATACTGGTAATTAAGTTACCTACCTTACCATTCGGCAATACCATAGAATATAGATTGAAAGATTACCCTTGGACATAGATTTAGGATTATTGTATATGCAACAATGTGAATGTTGCTGTCAGGGATGTTTATTTTATTCCAAAGCTCTGGATGCCATTTTTTCTGCAAACATTATTTTTCACCTTTTATGCAAGAAAATGGAAGATGAAGTTCATCTGCTATTTTGGAGCAAATTATTGGTATTTCCTGATTTAGCAGTTTTTTCTAATGTTTATTTTAGAAAAAAAAATTACATTATGGAAAAATAACCATACATAACAAGTGTTCTGCTTGAAAGGGAAGGGAGGGGGGTTACATACTGCATGAGTACTGAAAAAAATTTCCTGTTTCTACTATTTATAGGACAATTTTCAGAAAAGAACAACTTGGTTTATTGAATTTAACTTGGTTTTAAAATTTTCACTGATTCAAAATTATTATGTTCTTTTTACATATGTTTGCATTAAATGCCTGGCTTTGAGCAATGTATATGTATATGAATAATCTGCATTCTTATGGAAGTCTTTGGCAAGTCTCAAAATTGGTTTCATAAATCAATGTAAAAATGGAATTTGTTCTTAGATGTTAATAATTCTTAGATTGTCTAAATTTTGATTTTGAACTAGTTTAATAACAAATTTTGTTAAGTAAATCTTGGTGACCTTTTTTTCTATAGAAATTTGAAGTAAGATAAAAAGAGGAAACAAAAGAGAATTAAGGGAACTTTTTATTTTGACTAGTAAAACTTATTTTTATTTTATTTGAACTAATTTTGAGATAGAAGCTAACAATATCATGTGAGATAAAGAACTAGTTTTTCAAATTGAAATAATTGCTAAAGACTTCAAAACTGGCCCATTTGTTTGTAGTTATTTATTTCTTAAAGCCCCTCCATCCCTCCCTGTTAGCCTTTGCGATTGCTCGTAGTCCAGTGATTCAAGTTTTAAACTATTACTTGTGACAGTTTAAATGATGCTCTCTGTAAGTAAAATTTATAAAAATTACAAAAAAAAATGGAATTATTGGTAGTTGCATTTCAAGAACAACAGCCACTCAACTGGTTAACTATTTTCAGAGATTGGTAAGTCAGTGACCAAATGCTTAATCAATTGTTTCTGTGTGGTTGAACTAATCTGTCCATTCTCTATTTTTATGTTGTTCTGCATTCAGTCTACATGGAATTTTTTGCTAGGCTTTTTCAGAGAATTTTTGGTGTCTTAAATTCTCAGACCAGTTTTTTATGACTAATTTACTGGTTATGGTAGAAGTGAAAAGGGCATTTTTTTTTCTTGTGGCAATGTGCATTGTTTGTTATACTTACACTTTGTTGGAGTGAATTTCTCTCATTTTTTTAGTACCTCTCTTTAAGTAATCAGATTTTTGAACTAGATTAGGCATTTGGTTTCCATACTTTGTGAAGCACCTGGTTTTTTTAACAGGTGTGGCTTTTACAGAATGCTGAGGGACTGGGTAGCTTTTCTACATTGACAACTTTTGATCCTTTTTTTGTTTGCCTTTTCTTTTCTTTAGTTTTTGGAGTATTTATTATCTTCCATTCCCTTTGTGTTGATAATCTTAGTTGAAAAAGAAGGTGGTTCATTGTTGCTAAAGTAGAAATAACTTGTTTATTTTAACCAATAATTCCTTTTAAGTGCTAGAACTACTTCATGAACTGGGACCAATCATCCTCTGCTTAAGATGCTGGATCAGGGTTAGTGGATTACTATAATCCTATTCACTTTGATTTAAGAAATGATTGCCTGTAAGATAAAGACTAAACTTCTATATAGCAACAACAACAACCAAGTCGTATTCTACTAAATTAGGTCGGCTATATAGATCACACAATGCCATAAGCTCGGTTAAAAACCAAATTGTAGAAATATTATTAATCAATAGATCTCTTTTAGTAATTTCCTCTAAGTTCTCCTGGGTCTTCGCTATCACTTTTCACCAAATTAAAAGTCATGTCATCCATTCTTTTCACTGGTGCCTCCAGCGGTCTTCTTTGCATGATGGGCTAATTTGTAACTTACTATCAGAACTTTGACTATTCAGTGTGTGGGTTTGCAACTTTTGGTCCTTGATCATCATGTGAACAAACCAAGGAAGCAATAGTGCTGCATGCTCCTCTCTATTTTAGATGCTGTTTATTGATAGAATATTCCTTTAGTATAACCCTTTGTTTTTCTGAGGGCCCTAGGCAACTAGTAGCTAATGTTTTGCTGTGTACTATTTATTTGACACACAAACAATATGAATTATTGTATTTATATTTCCAGTAAATGGGGCACTTGAAGAAATATTATCCAGTAATTTTTAAGGTGTACTGAAACACAGTCCTTGTGTTAAAACTATAGGTCAATGACATTTATTAATTTAATATTACTTGCTTTCACAAAGTTAGCATTATGTACTTATTTGTATTCTTATTTCTTGTAAAAACCACCAGATTCCAAATACTTGGTTGTTCTTCTTCAAAATAGAGGAGAAGGCATCATCAAAGTGAAGCTTCGTACTGATTTTGAAAATAACCTTGGAGTTGTAGATGTTGAGAAAAGTAAAACAGAGAAGGTATCAGTCATTTTATCTTAAGCTGACAGTTTTTTTTCCTTCTTTTAATTGATGTTTTTTATTATGTACAAGGTACTCTTTTATTCTTCATACCCTTCTGCTTCAAACTGAAACCACAGCTTGAGATGTACTGCTTCCTAGCCACAGTCTCATCTCATTGTTTTATTTTGTGAGGCAAACGAAACATAACATTACTTTGGACAAATAAATTCCCGGTCACAGTCTCATCTCATTTGCTTAAAAATATTGCTAAAAGATATAAGTAAACATTTGACAGTGTTTTGAATAAATTGACAACTATTGAATCAATTTAATCATTTTCATGACTCCCTGTTGAATGAAATTTCGGAATCTTAAAGTTCATTTGGATTTATGGACAGAAGAAATGTGACAGTTATTATGCTATTAGGGAATGGAAGAGAATCAACATACTTGGATCATAGAAGAAAGGAAGTTAAGGAAAGAGACTTTAGATATTTTTTTGTTTACCATATAATTTATTCATATTTTTTAAAACCTTTTTTATTGTTGGCAGGGTAAACTAATTGTTAATTAAATCTCATCCAATTTCTCTACGTTTTCTCTCCTTCCATTGAAGGGATGTAGGCTGAAAGTGAGGTGTTCCTAAGGAAAGGAACACATCATTCCATTGGTTTTCCTTCTTTCTACTACTATAATCCATTGAAATGAAGGGTTAATAACTGTTCCTTTCTTTTAATTTCCATTTCAGTTCATTCTGTTAAATCTCCCCAAACTTATTGTCACACTCCGGAACAATTGAAATTATGAAATCTGATTCCTTTATGTATGAAGTTTGATTATAATGTATTGTTTGTATCTACTTACCATAAGAAAGGAATGCATTTTACAAACCTTGTAGTAAGTTAAATTGTAATACGTAGAAATCCTGTCAATTCTTTCCACCACCTCCTTTGTGGTTGTGTTGCTCTTCCATCATCACTATTGAACTTGTGCCCATCCTTTCTTCCTTTTTCCTTGTGCCTCTGGCTGGGAAGAGCAGGGTGATCTCTTGTACTTAGACCATCTTTTCAAGCTTGTTTGCTCAATGTTTTGTTTAAGATGTTTGGTTTCATAGGTTCTTTGCTGAAGCCTTCATTTTACGCCTCAGATCAGCAACTGCCTTACTGGTTTTGCACTCTTATTTTTCAGGTCAACATCAAACGAATTAGAAGTGAAACTACCCAACTGACTTTAAATGCCGGAAAAGGGGATTGTGTGCTTCACATGGTTACTCATAAATCTGAAAGGAATTTCTTTTTGCGTCTTCCTTCATATGAGAAAATTTTAACACCAGTAAATGGTGCCTATTTCCTCATATTGACAGTACTAGTCTTTGGAGGGACATGGGCTTGCTGCATGTTTAGGAAGAAGCGGCACGATGAGGTCCCATATCAAGAACTTGAAATGGCTTTGCCTGAGTCTGCTTCGGCTACCAATGTGGAATCCGCTGAAGGTTGGGATCAGGGATGGGATGATGATTGGGACGACAACGTTGCAGTGAAGTCACCTTCTGTACATCATGCAGGAAGCATCTCTGCAAATGGCCTTACTTCTAGATCATCAAACAAAGATGGATGGGAGAATAGCTGGGATGATTAGTTATCATACGGAAAATGATAAGGGAAGGGACATTAATCTCAAAGGTGGTGAAGGAGGAGGAAGAGGTGGAAGGAAAACGCAAGGTGAAACATCGAAGTTGGGAAGGGTTCAAAAGAAAGGATGTGACAAATGTGACTGTGCTGGGGCTTAACTTTGATGTGTGTCCATGCAAAGGACAACCGAAAAGAAAAGAGCGTGTAATAGTTTTAACACAGGATTTTTTATTTTGAACATGTAATAGTGAATGCCCTGGCCCAAACGGGAGATAAAAGAAACTGTAAATGAAACATAGGAGATAAGAGTATATTTTTGGGCTTTATCAATTCCCTATACATACTGTTCTTGTGGTACCAAATGTAAAAACTTTTGTTATTATTTGGCTACTTTTCTCTTCTTAGAGGTTGTTTGGGGGTGACTTGTGAGAAGTATTGGAGTCCCTTTTTTCCATACTAATGTACTGTTTTTAGGTTCAATCGAATTGAATACTATCGGGTGATTTATGTAGTTGCATTAATAAAATATTTGTTATTATTGTAATGTATTGTTTTTAGGTTGATGGTTTTTCCTTCACCTGAAAGGAAAGAAAATAAGAGGAGGGGGAAATTTTTAAACTTAAATTGATGAGAAAATGAAATGATAAAAAAAGACTAAACTTTTCTAATATTCATGTTATTAAAGGCGATATATGATGAGTAGAGATTTGGCTTGTTGACTGCAAGTCATTAATGGTGGACTCTGGGCATGAAGGATGTGCTTGTTTTATCAATTATTTCAGATATGGCCAACTTTTTGTGAAAATGCTAAGGCTTCACGTGGTCATATGTCAGATGAAAAAGGTATTGTTAACTAGTGTCTTAAAAACATTAGTTAAAGAATCAATTATAAATGATAAGTTTCATTGGAAATTATGTTGGAAAATAGGAGTAGGGTTTGTTTAAGCTATTTCATGAATAAATAACTTCATCCTATGTAGACTAATGAAATTAAAACATTGTATTAGGATTATTTATTTTTTACTTCATTAGATAATTTAGACAAACCCTGACAACTAATTGACAAAAAAGTGTCCTGTAATCTCTAATTGTAGGTAAATGCAACTGTATGAATGAACTACAGCATAATAAGGTGCCTGTAATAGTGAAATTTTAAATGCACCACACATTTTAATGTTTGTAATTTTAAAATATAAATTAGCAAATGAAAATTAATTGCAAAAAGTATAAAATTTAAGAATCAATTGATATAAAATTAAAATTTAAAATATCTAATTATAAAAGCTATAAAGTTTAGGAGAGTAAATATTTTTTTCACAATAAAAATAAGGTATTTAGGTCTTAAGTCGTAGATATACTTTAAACCCTAAATAATCTTAAGTTTAGTCAAGTAGGTTCACTTAAGAGAAAAGCTCTTCCAATACCTATTTCCTCTGCACATAATTGTCAAATATGTGCCCTTAAGGCAAAGATGAATTTAAGTAAGAGCAAGGGTCTCCCTTGGTCATTTCTTTTAAATATTTCATATATAGAATTTATATGTAGTTTTCTAATTCATTAATTTATTCTTATACATATAACATTAAATTTAAGTATTCATTTTTAAGAGTGAAGACTTTTTCAACCTACTCTCTCTATATGTGCTAACGTTTTTCACCTTAAACATCTCAAATTTTGAAATTTTGATCTCTTTTTTTTTCTTGAATGATATTCCTTTAATTGAATCAATCTCAACATATTCAATTGTTTATACTAAAATATTTTAATAATTATAAATTTGAAGTTTGACATCAAATTGATAATTGATTCATATACATTATTTTCATAATTTATTCTTTAATTTTGAAAGTGTTGTTTTGGACAACAAAAATATCTCTCATTACCCTCAAAAAAACATGTGATTTCATTATTTTAAATTTTCATTTTAAAAATTTATTTTAATTGTACCCATATAATGTAAAAAAATTTACTAATTAATACAATTGTTTTATTTTAATTTTCGGTTCCTCTTTTACATGCTTTCTAAATTCATCCTTAGTTAAAAAATAATTTATAAAGAGAAAGAGGAAGAAGAAGAAGGAGGAGGAGGAGGGAATGAATACATTTTAAAAAATAATTTATCATTAAAGAAAGCACATGATTCTACTATTGAGGTTTTTGGTGATTCATTAAATATATACAGGGCATCATAGCATTTATGACACAGACACAGACACACATATATATATATATATATATATCATTCTTGAGCTCTTTTGCCTCTCAGCTACGCGTGCGCATGCAAAAGTCATAGACACCCAATAATTATTATTATGGTAATCTACACTTCTTCAAAGCCAAGAGTGGATTTGTTGTTCAAATTTTGATGCACAAGGTTCCACTGCCCCATCATCTTGTTCTGTACCTCTTCATTCACTCTATGGATTCAATGTCATTCTGTCTCCACAAAGTAAACCAAAAGGTGGGAGTGCATGGATAGGAACATGGGATCATTTTTTATTTTATTGGATTTAACTTCATGGGAGTGCCCATTTAATTTAAAGTTGATGTGCATTAATTTCAATAAAATTGATCTTTATCTATTAAATATAATTGAAAATACATACATAAATTAATTTGAAGTATATATTTTTAACATTTGTAAAACAAACAAGCCCTTGATCATTTTGTTTCTTTTATCATTTATTGCTACAAGAACTTATACACAAAAAGAAGTTGGCGCATAAAGAAGCATTAAGTAAGTTAAATATTAGAAACATTAGAACATCCATTTTTATTACTATTTTGATAAAAATGATTTAAACAAAGGCTCTTACCAACTGGCAATTGAATTAATCAACAATTTTTGGCGTAAAGCAAAAATTTCTGCATTGTTATCCTATAAGGTTAATGGTGATGATAATGTATTGCAAAGTCATCCACATATTCCTTTTATTTACTATTTTAATGTGTAGACATAATCATCTTAGTGTATGGTAGCGTGAACGTAAATCAACAAGCTACATGGAACATTATTTTTTATGATTAAAGGGTGTGATATTTTTTATGCCCTCTTTCAATTAGACCACAACTGAAACAGTTCAAAATGTGGAACATGCCATGATTGCCATGCACTGCACCAAATGTTGCCATTTGAAAAAGCTTGTTAGTTGGTGGTGCTTTTAAGGACAACTTGTGATGTGCTTTGATGATGTCGAAGAAGCCTATTTGATAAGGTTGTGTGTGGCATTGCTACAACTATTTAATTATGCAATAACAATATATTTTACTTCACGTTCAAGCGTTAATTATTAAATTTACTAGCACAAACTGAGATAGATTCCAATTCGGTAAGTAAACTATTATTATCTTCTTCAAGTGCTAAAGTTATTCACACTCTTTGCTGAGAAACGTTTTACTAAAAAGAGGCAAAAATGTTAGTATTAAGTTTAAAAGTGTCAATAAAGCAAGTAAGTGCTTTTTCCCTTTACTTTTCTCTTCGGTGCATTATTTGTGGTAGCGGCTAATGTATTCATCTAATTATATTTTGTGAGGGTTTAGCTATGTTCCCCTTTTCTTTTTGTTTATTCTAAATCTTAAGTTTGGTTTCATACGAAAAGAGTAAAAGCAAAAGCAAGTTGTACAACACTTTTCGACTGAAAATTTTATTATTATTTAGGAAATCTCTTATTGCTTATACGAATAAAAAGTAATTTCAAGTTATTCAGGGAAATTAATATGAATTTTATTTAATGATGGCGTGTTAAAAGACAGTATCAAAATGTTATTGTTAACATTTGTCTTCGTTCAAATTATGTTCAGTCATTATAAGAAATATATATTTCTTCAGTTTTTATATGTAACCTTTCTTTAATTAAATTCTTATATTATTTTTAAAATTAGACATTATACGTGAAATCATTTTTAATATCATATCCACTGTTTTTTGCCTTACAACACTAAAATTAATACAGAATTAGCGTAAAATATAAAGATCAACTCAAACATTGTTATCAAATATAAAACTTATTTTTATCCCTGCACATTAAGCTCATTTTCAATTTGAATACAAATAATAGGTAGTCAAGTCATTTAACCAAATTGACAAGGATTCAATTTCTAATTATATGCATAAAAATAACATTATTAGAAAAGGGAAAAAAACAACAAATTTCATCTCGATAATCTCAACATCTTAAAAAGATTAATCTCAAAACAATTAACAAAAAGTACTGAGTAAAAAAATTATTCAAACCTTATATTTTAATAATGGTAATAGATGAAAATATTTATATGGGTATGACTATTTTTTTTTTTTTCGTGTGTTGACAATATTAATATAGAGATCAAATTAAAAACGATTTTGGCACATAGCAAAACTATATAATATACCAATTCTTGTCTATCATGTCTTCTATATTCAAGTCTTTCTAAAAACAAACAATTCTTTTCAGCCTAAAGTGAATTAGTGCTTCCCTTCTAAACTCAACCGTGTATTTGAATGAACCATACCTTTACACTAAAAAAGTTCAATGTCATTTAGCAGTGTACCAAACTAGGTGGGGTTCATACCAAGTATCAACAGTAACTCGCACTTGTCCCAGCATGAATAGAAACCATAAAATTGCAATGAATACTTATAATTCAGAAAATTCAATTCATTCTAGGAGGTAATAAAAGTATGGTTAAGAGATATATATTATATCCTTGTATCAGCCGTTGAACTGGTGAAGAAAAATCCAGTAATACAAACATGAGATGAACAAAAATAAGAGACCAAAAAAAGAAGAAAATTTCATCAACTTAAACAAACAAAAGTTTGGAAGATATTGACTGAATATTCTTTGCATGTATAGCTTCTTTTTAAACCGGATTGTACTTCACCAGGTACTACATTATGTGCTGTTTCTCAAAGACTGCAACAAAACTCATTCTAGTTCCTCTTGTCCTTCTGAAGGGCATTGGATTAACTCTAATATGTTGACTACTTCAGCCATATCTGGACGGTTTGATGGCACTTGTGATGCACAAATCAACCCCAATTTTATCACAGGAATTGCTTCCTCAGCAGCAAAATTACCAAGGAGCCTTCCATCAACACATTGCTCTACCTTGCCTTCTTCCAATGCACCCCTCACCATGTCACAAAGAACAACCACATCATCCTCCATGTATTCCACAGGTCTTTTTCCAGTGACAACCTCCAGCACTAGGATCCCAAAACCATATATGTCACATTTCTCAGTTATCTTAACTGTGCGGCATGCAAACTCAGGAGCCATGTATCCAAGTGCACTTTGAATTTTGCTGCTCAAAACACAATGGTCTAGCATTGGCAATAGTTTCACCAAGCCATAATCTCCTATTTTTGGCTCACCGGAACAATCAATGAGAACATTGGTTGATTTAAGATTGTAGTGGATTATGTTCATTTGGTGCAAATGAGCCAACCCTTTTGCCATGCCAAGAATAATCTTGAACCTTTGTCGCCATGAGAAGACATTTTTGCTATCATCATCATGTAGAAGCTTATGCAAACTCCCCCTGGATAGGTACTCATAAATGAGTAGCTGCAAGGATGAAGTCCAATAATAACCTTCAAGTGTCACGAGATTCTGGTGCCTGATTTTCCCAAGCTTTTTCACTTCTATCTCAAAGTCTTCTTGGGACTTGATCAAACTGGAGACTGTAAGCTTCTTGATTGCAACAGCATGCCCGTCACGAAGGAAAGTGCGATAAACAACTCCAAATCCACCACGACCAATTTCACTTTCTTTGTTAAGAAGATTATGGGCTCCATCAGCAAAATCTGCATCACCAGCAAACATGACAAGCTTGCCATAATTTGGATCATTTGCCGGTGAACAGCTATAGTCCTCCCCACCAGATAATGCAAATGGAGCAGCAGAACGTGCCATTGAAGAGCGCACACGGATGTTTAGGACAGTAACTGCCACCACACCAATGGCAATAAAAGCAGCTGCTCCAATAGCTATAAGAGCAGAGATACTGAGTATGATCTTATGACGATGATTTTGTGAGGAAATGCTGGAATTGGAACTGGAAGAATTGGGATTTAAGACAATAGGTTTGGGGTGAACAGATGGGCAGGAGTGGTTGACAACAGAACCGCACAACAACGCATTACCAGCAACAGATGACGAGGATATGGTGTTGAAGAAGCCTCCCACAGGTAGTTCACCTTCAAGGTGGTTGTAGGATACATTAAATGTGAAAAGATGAGAAAGATTTGTCAGTTCCTTGGGCAAACTTCCTGAGAATTCATTCCATGACAAATCTACATACTGAAGATTCGTTAGATTTGCAATGGCTGGAGGGATTGAACCAGTAAGCTTGTTGTGTGAAAGAATCCTGCACAATTCAATTGAAATACACAAACAAAAAATAATTAGACAAAAAATGAAAACTATTATAGAGATATTCAAATTTTCACAATTATATTTAATAGAAGTAACGAAAGCCTTTTAATTTGTAAATACAAATCAGTCAGATTAAGCTGTAAAGAACAAATCATGAAAGATGGACAACTAGGATATTAGAGAGCTTACAAAAATGTTAGAGATGAACACTTGTCAATTTGAGCTGGTATTCTCCCACCTAGCAAGTTCTTCTGTAGCCTCAGTTCACTGAGTGAAATTGCTCCTTCTATTTCAGAAGGAATACTCCCGTTAAGCTTGTTGTCACTAAGGTCAATAATATATAGAGACTTAAGTTCCCCTAAACCCACAGGAATGTAACCAGAGATTTTGTTGGCGGAAATATTCAAGACTTGCAAGCTACTAAGTCCCCCAATGCCAGACGGAAGCTCACCAGAAAATGCATTGGATGACAAATCCAAAACCTCAAGACCATGATAAGATGCAGGTGTGGACTTAAGTGAAGGATAATTGCCCTTGCCAAAGCCATTCTCAGAAAGAGAGATACTTTGAACACCCATCCTAAAAATCCATGAAGGAATATGGCCTGCCAACTGATTGTGGCTGATGTCAAGAGCCAAAAGCTTAGTACTATTTACCATTGAATCAGGCAAGTTTCCTGTTAACTGATTCCATGATAAATTCAACCTATGCAAAGAGTCTAGATTTCCAATTGATTTTGGAATCCATCCAGAAAATTTATTACCAGAAAGATCCAACACCTCTAGATTTTTCAGTTCTCCAATCCAGTCAGGAATGCCTCCTGTGAATGAATTTCCCTGCAAACTAAGTGATGTGCAAGAAGTGAGTCTTTGCATTGACTGAGGGAGTTCTCCAGAGAGAAAATTACCACTCATGTCAAGTGATTTCAGAAGTATGCAACCTCCAATATCCCCAGGAAGCTTTCCACTAAACCTGTTCTTCTGAAGACTCAACTCCCTCATGTCATACAGATTCTGAATTCCTTCAGGAATCTCTCCCTCCAGCAAGTTATTTGACAGATCAAGAGACTGTAGTCCCCTCAAGAACCACACCCCAGAAGGCAATTCCCCATAGAGCTTATTAGAGGAGAAGTTAACAGTGGCCAAATTGGAGCATGAGCTCAAAGACTCAGGAATCTTACCTGTGAGGTTGTTGTTGGCAAAGGAAACTGTTCTGAGAGAGCCACATTGTTGGAAAAACCCTTCTGGGATTGACCCGGAGAGGTTGTTGTCACTCAAGTCCACAACTTGCAAACTCCCAAGGCGAGTTAGATCAGGGTTTATAGGCCCAGTGAAGTTGTTCCCAGAGAGTGAGAGAATTTGAAGGAACTGCAACCTCAATAGGCCTCTATCAACATGCCCAGAAAGAGAGAACCCATCAAGGACAAGAGCAGATACCCTGTTGGTTGAAGGATAACATTTCACACCTTCCCAATTGCAAGGACTATAATCATCCTCATTCCAAGAAGAAAGTTTCCTTTTTGGGTCTTCCAAACCAGCCTTGAACACAATCAACCCCAACACATCATCGTTGAAACCAGGGTCCTCAGAGAACACCAAGAGAACTGGGGCAAGAAGAATGAAAAACAACATACACAAGCTGAATTGTTGCATCATGTTCATGTATTGATGTGTCTACAATTAAGTTAAGGGTAGTGTTCAAACTTTGAAAGGAGTAGTACTAGTAACTCCTCATGAATTCTCACAAAGTACTCTATCCCTTAACAAGAACAACACCACTCTCATTTACTTGCATATACGGTTGGTAGGTCCAAGCAAAGCACAACATATGCGCCACCAAACCACCTCAAACACATAAAGAAGGGGAAGTTTCTTCACAGAAACTGTAGAAAGGACACGAAATGGAGGCTGAAATTGCAAGAATACAAATCTCAGCGGATATAAACAAAAAGAGAAGAGTAGAAAGAAACAAAAGGTGAAAAAAGCAAAAAACCAAAAAAAAAAAAAAAAGATTAGACAAAAGCCATGTGAGTGAGATGAAAAAGAGAACAACAAAATTAAAGCAAGTTCAGGAAATTCCCTTATGGCTTTTTTGCTTCTCAGAATTTCAAATTTACTCCTCCATTCAAAAATAACACTCAAAGATTAACCAGCAGAGTAGAGAATAGGAATGTGTTTCCACTTAGAGCAATGAAATTTCAAAGGGTGGAAGAAGGAACAGAAAAAAAAAATATTTTATTTTTTTGAGGATGTTACTATATGGAAAGAAAATAAGAAGAAAATGAATATTGAATTAGTTTCCCAGGGAAAGCGGCGAAAGGGGCGCAAAGAGGGAAGAGGGTTATTAGTATCTTAAAGAAAGAAGAAGCCTCGGGGTTGGAGAAGCCATTAATGGAAGAGGGACAGAGAGAGAGAAAAGCATAAATAAATGAGTGCGGTTCTACTTCTATTCCAAGGCTTCTATGCCTTCTGGTTAGTGTCAGAGAGAGTAAAGTGAAGCATTTAAAGCTTCGAACGTCAAAGACAGAGAAAGAGAGAGAGAGTGTGTGTGTTTGTATTTGCCATGTGTGTACAGCAAAGGTGCTTCATTTACGGTATGATGCTGTATTCTTGTTTTTTTAGTATTTAATGTTTCTCACTTTAGCTGTAAATATTTCAAAATGTATTGTTAATCTTAATTTAAATTTAAGCATTTACTCGAAAAAAATTAAGCATTTAAAATTTTATTAAATTTAATATATTAAAAATTAAATGTAATAATTTTTTTACTAAATTTTTATTATTAATAATTATTTAAATTTAAGCTAAAATTTTGAAGTTATAATATAAAAATTGTTTAAATTATTTAAATTTTTATTATTAATAATTATTTTTAAAATTGTTTATAAACTTTATTAATTCTAAATAAAAAATTTAAATATTTTTAATTTTCGTTAGCCAGTGCATTTAAAAAATGGCTAAAAATTTTAAAATGATAAATTTTTATAAAAAAAATAATATTAAATTGCATTAAAATTTATATTTTTTCTTAATCAGTATCATTAAAATACTTAATTAGCTATTATCATATTTTCATATATGCTTAAATAATAAATGTATGTAATTTTATTTTTTTAAAAAATAGAAAATTAAAAAACAAACGTATAGGAGAATATAATAAAATTTGATGACTAGTTTAAATATGTAAAAGTAATAATTTTTAAAATATTATATTTTTATATCATAATAATTTTATAAATTATTATCTTAAATTTTCAAATTTAATATTTTGAAATAAAAACTTATGTATAATTTTTTTTCTAGAAGGTCTCACTTTTTTTTCTGAAAAATAATTTTTCTTATTTTTCAATTAATTGTAACAATGCATGTTTAATTATATTTATTTTGACAAAACAAATATTTGTAATAATTTTATAAAATTTTAAAATAATAAATAATTATTATAAATAATTTCATCTAAACATATATATTGCTAACTAATATTTTTAAGATATTAGATAAAAAAAATTTAAATATATTAATTTTGAAAGAAAAACAATTATTTATTTTGGTAAATTTTCAAATTTTTTAATTAATACTTTGAAGTATTAGTTGAATGGCCTGTCATTAAATATTGATGGATAAAATATGACAAAATGTGTATTTAAAAATACATTAAAAATTTTATAAATATATAATGAAATAAAAAATTTACTTCATCGGAATGGTCAATCCAATATCCCATGTGTGATCTTGGTGGCCCTTTTGGTAACATTTTTCTGTCTGGCGTGGTTGAAACGTTTAAACACTTGAGTATATTATTAATTATGATTCTTTAACTTGTGTATTACTATAAAGGTTTAAATATCTATAAAACAATTTTTTATTAATAATAAAGAAAGTTAATATCATCTAATATTATTAAATATTATAATTTTTTATAATAAATTATTATATACAACTTTTTGACCTGTGTAATACAAAATTATAATAATTATTCTTAATAAACAAGAAATACTACTATCATTAATGATATTTAATGTAGTGTTGGACATTAATGATTTTTACTTTATAAATTAAAATATAATCTTTAAAATAGTAAAAGAAATATTAATTTTAGTCTTTAAAATTAAACATAAACAAATAATAATACTCTCTTCATCTTTAAAAAATAGTAGTTCAAAGTTATAATATAAAAATTAAGAAATATATTTAATTTTTATTAAAAGTATTATAATTTTTATTATTATTTTAGATTTTATGTATACGATAAATGAATAGAGAAAATACAGAAAATAAATTTTAAAATAAAAATTATTTTAAAAATATAATTGAAGCAACAAACTACTTTAAAATTATAAAATGACTATTATTTTGAGAAAAATGAATTTGACTAAAGAAACTCTATTTTAGAGACAGAAAAAGTAATAAATTTTTGTTATGAATAGAAGTATTTATTAATTTATACAATAAATATTTTTTTAATATTTTTTTTTTTACTTTGATATACTCAAACTCATTTTTAAAATTAAGGTTAACAAAACTCCAAAAAATATTAATAACTGAAAACAAAAAATTGTTTTAAAAAATATATTGAAAATATATTGTTAGTATTTTTTTTAAAACATTATTAAACATCATAGTTAATATTTCTTAAAAATACTTTTTATCACGTAAAAATTTTAAAATTAAATTAAAAAATTAGATTAATCAATATGTGTCAGAGTAATTCAAATTTATAAACACTTGATGTTGAAAGGGGTTCATATTTTAGTGTTTAAATCGTATCTTGAGAGACTTACGTATTAATAATAAAAGTTTGAAAAACAATATATGTGTGTTACTAACACATGATACTGTATTGAAAATGTCATCTAATATGCATCTTCTTGCACAGTACTTTTATTAATTCATGTATTACAAAACATAAGAAACTCTTCATTTAATGGTTTTGTTTTTGGATTATGCCAAAAACAACCCAATTTAAATTTAAGTTGAGAAATCACAAATGCCCAACTCCTGGATATCGTAAACCAGCATCAAAGTCACAAGCTACATTTGTATTTTCGTTTTATTTTTTGTACAAAACCAATGTTATCTTTTGATGATAATATATTAAATTTCTTAAGCACCTCCTGACTATATACATGATTTCCTATGAAAATGAAAATATCATTATCAAACCAAGTTGTACAGCACAGTGTCATTTTAACTTAACCATTCATAATTTCAAATATATACAATCATTCAAGTTTAATCTGAAAGCATGTTTGTTCAATGATTATCCCAATATCAACAAGCAAAAATAAGTAAAATAATCACTTTTTCATTATCTACTCGAAAAAAGATTTTTTTGTATTGTTGGAGAAAACTGTATTACCTTTAGAATTCCCACATATTATTCTCAGTCATAATATTATAGTACTATTTGTTACCGAAATTACATTATATGGTAATTATAGTTTCTATTTATTAGATATTTTTATATAACAAAATCCAACTGTGACCATAATTGCTATCGTATGGTGTACAAGTATTCAAAATTTCACATGATATAATAGAATAAAAGATGGTCCTCACTCACCCACTGATTTGTGCAGAGTTATTCAAAAATTTAGAATTAGATCAAAGCACATTGATGCCTCATGGGAAGAATTTATTGCCAGAGGAGACAATGATACGTTTGAAAAGAATAAAAAAGAAGGAACCAAATGATGTCACCACGTCACTCGCTCCAATGAGTGTCAAACCCCTCTTTTTTTCTACTATTCTTTTGTCAAATTTTGTCATTGACTTTGAAATAGTACTAATGCTTGTTTTACTAAACTAGGATTCAATTAAACAATCCTAAGTTTTGATCTTAGCATAACTAATTGCATTTACAAGTTTATTATATCGAATTTGAATTGTGATATAAATGTGCTGCATATGATGCTTAAATTGGTGAAACATACTTGTCTCTCTTGCCCCATATAAGTAACCATATATATATATACATATACGTCTCAATCAGACCCTTTAGGGAAATTTCAAGCCAAGACGGTAACGCAAACACTAGAGTCAGTCATGTCCTTTTGGGCCATTTTTGTTTTGTAATGGGTGTCTTTAAGCTAAAAGATTCAAACTTGAAACACCCACCCTCAAGTTCTTATTTATGGGTCCAAGTTGTTTGCACTTGGTCTTTGGACCTTTGCTTTTATTTGACTTTGTTACCCAATATTGTCTAATAGATTGACTCCTTTTGCTATTTGCCTTAGAAGGCAAGAAAAAGTTATGAGACTAAGGAAGTGCTACGTTTTCCTTCCATTGTAACTGTGCCTATTGAATGTTGATTACAGACAATCAAATTTCACATTCACATGCTTGTGATTTTAAAAGTGTTGTTTAGATTTAAACTTTGTTTATTTGGAATTGCTCTGTTTTGCTTGTTTGTGGCGCAAATGGCGCAGGATCCAAGTAACCATGAAACATGCATTTTTCTCTTTAAAATGAAAATGAAAACATAAGGAAAGAATAACTTTCAGAGTTATTATTATTATTGTTGTTGTTGTCATGTATAGCTTTAAAGTTTGTAGAACCAAAAGGTACAAACGGTTTACAGGCCCATAGAGTTTTATTGTTGGGCCATCCTTCTTCTAGTGTCCATTTTTCAGCCTTTTCAGCCCAAAAGTAACAAATACAAAAAGTTAAGTGAAGCAATGGTTCAGGCCCCAAAGAAAAAACACACTTCACACAAATTTGTGAAGATTAATTTTTGGTAACTTTAAACAACAACAATGTTTTTAGTAGTGAAACAATCCTAATTTTATAATATATTTTAAGATAATATTATTTTGATAATTTATTTAGAAAAATACTATTTTAGTAAATCTCCTTAAAACTGAAGAAAAAACTTAAGAACCTATGTGGTTTTAATTTTTTATTTTAATTATAAAATGACAATTTTACTTCAAATTTGTTTTTTTTGGTTTTTTTAAATTGTATAAAACAGTAAAAAATAAATTTATTTATTATTTTCATTGTTTCTTACACAAATTTTTGAAAAAAATAATAAAAAATACATAGAACTAAGCTCTAAAACAATAATTAAAAAAGAAGAAGCTAAATTAGAAAAGAATTCCCATGCCTAAAAGGAAATGTGTATGTATGCTATGTCCAACGAAAGAATTGATCAAGTTATGTATTCAGAAATGAAATGTCAAGATGTTAAATGAGAATGAAAGAAGAAAGGCTCAATGCTCAAAGAGCAAGAAAACTCCATCAAAATGGTCAAGCTATAATGACTTCATTTAACTTTTCTTGATATATTGTAAAAAGACATGGCAATTTCCAATGGTCTCTAACAACCCATAAAAGAACTTATATGTGTATTAATTGCCCTCCAATTGCTACTAAGGGCTCCTTGAGCTGGCTTCTTTTATTAATCTCCAGACCAACTTAAGAAAGGGAATTAGACCCCCATCTCATTTCTAATAAGGTTGTCATGATTCGAATATACTCATGACTGTTAAGTTCTAGAGTAAGGTGAGTGTTGTTCGAGAGATTTTAAACTTACAAAGACTTGTGATTAAAAATTTACTTCAACTAGACCATTATAAAAGTCACGACATTTAATTGTTAAATTACAATCATGCTTAATTATTCGCTACACCTGTGTTGTTGTTTTCTAATCAACACTTGAAGCTGACAAAGAATCCATAGTCAAAGATCAAACTGATTTTAAATGATAAATAGGTTATAAAAATAGGAACCTTTCAATCCTGTTCTAGAAGATCTTCTTCCCTCTAGCACCTAACTTGAAACTTAAAAGTATTTAATTAAATTGATGTTATTAATATATAACGCATGACCCTCTTATAAGTTTTATGATGAAACTTACAAAAAAAATTACATTGTTTATTATATGAGTTCTTATCCTAAGAGTTTAGTAAAATTGTTTTCCTAAGCATGCCCAAAATTATTTCCGGATGACTTTCCCTTATAAAAATTACATGCATATACAAATACCGAAAGTTGATATCTCTTATACGGGGCATGTGATTACTAGTTTTCATTATTCTTTCATTTTTGTTTAGCTTTTGATATCCAATTCATGTGTACCCGTTTAATCCCACTTGGTTGCTTTTTCTGCTTCAGCATTCGATTGTGTTTGATGATCAGCCTTAAACTTGGATTAGCCTTTTGATTTGGCTATTGGTTCTTTGCTTTTGTTATGAACCAAAAGGTAGAGCGTGTAATAAACAAGGCAATTACTAGAATCTTATCCCTTTCTTGCATCTATTCACTATCTACCTTTAGAATCGCGAAGAAGGGCCATTTTTGTTTGGAGCTCAAGCAAATGTTTCTTTGGGAAATTAAGTGCTGTGTAACTTCTGTAAGAATTGCAGATTCAATTCATAAGTGCATCTTTTTTGTAATTTAATCTTAATTATTCCTTCCCCCGACTTGAATATAGGAAGCCTTCTCAATTACAATTACAATTACAATTACAATGTTCTTTCTTCAAAACTCTCTCTCTCTCTCTATCTATATATATTTCATGCTAATTAATTATGTCTTCTCTTTTAGTAAAAAAAAAAGTAGTTTACATTTGAAGAGAAAATAATACTTTTAACTAATTTAATAAATAAATATTTTTAAATAGATAATTAAATTTTGAGAAAAAAATAATATGAGAAGAAACTTAAAAACAGTTCCTAAAAGAAAATTCAAAATATAAATATAAAGAAATTTAAAACAATAAGATAAAAAATATTTTTAAAAAATGTTCTTTAGGTACTATTTTAAATGGTCTTTAGGTCCACTTCAATTTAAAACTTTAATAAATATCTTTTCTCTAAAAGAACAGGGAAGAAACAGCACGAGGGAAAGGAAATTAAAGTGGACCATTTCCTTGGACTTTGGGGTTTTAAGGGGCCCAAGGGAACATAGTAAGTATTTGTTGTTGTTTCATTTGATTAGGTGTAGGTGTCATTCTCACGCCCAGTTCTTCACTTTTTCCACTACTCACAAAAAACAGACACATTCTTCCTCGTCGTTTAGGACTTTTCACAGACACTTACCCTCCAATTTCAGTTTCCGTTCTTCCTTCTTTAAATTCCCTTTCACTTTGATTCCTATTCCTTCCTTCAAACCTCTCTAACTACTTTTTCGTAACCTTCGCCTCTCTTCAACTTCAACCTCTCTCTCGTTCTTGCGTCGATGAGTTTCACGATGGATTCGGTTTCGGTGTTGAACCCTAAACTCGCTCGCACCCATTTCTCTCTTCCATTCAACAGGTTTTCCCATTGCGTTAAGTTCGACCCTTTGCTCAAACCTCGCGCTTTCGCACTTTCCGTCAACGCCGTTTCCCCCAACTCCTGCTTTCTCACCCTCCACCGACGCCCGTTAACCGTCGCTTTTGCTGCTTCGCACCAAGGCTCGGTAAGATGAAAAAGGAACGATTTTTATTCATTTTCGTGAAATGGGGTGTTTTGGTTAACGCCATTGCTTAACCAATGCGTGTTTGTTTCAAATTACATCTGGAGCTGAAAGTTAGTTAGTTAATTAGCTAGATTCAACGGAAATGTTTCTGAATTACTCACTGTGTTTGGATTCCCGTCAAATCCATTCAAGCGTGGATTCATTTCAATGCTACAAGTTATAACTTTCATGTTTATTTAACTCGATTTGGATTAGGTTCCAAACACACTAATTTGGATTGGGGAACTGTGCAGGAGCATGAAGAAATTGAAGTGGAGAAGGGGCATGATGAGGGGGTCCACGCTGGCGCTGAAGAGTCACAAGAAGCATGGAAGCAGGTTATGGATACGTGCAGGGAACAAGCATTGAGATTTCAAGGTGTTTCTCAAGAAGCGTATGAATTGTATTCTAAGAAGGCCATTGTCATTCTGAAGGATACTACAGAACAGTTGAAGGTGCTGGCCGATAAGACGGGGAATGAATTGAGTGTGGCAGCGAAGGAAATCACTGATGAAGGCAAAGAGTATTTATCCGCAGCTGCACAGAATTCGCCTGAGGTGAAGGACATTGTGGAGACATTCACCTCTCCACCGGATGATCTCCACAAAATATCTGGAGTTCGTGACTTCTATGTTGGTGTACCTTATGGTATGTAATAATGTGACTGTGTTTTGTGTGGTCAGTTTTGAAATGGGCAAAAAAATATTTTTCTGCTGAATGCTACACCTATTGTGGATAGTATGTTTTCTAATATAATGCAGGAAGTGTGTTAAGAGGCATTTGAATGTAAGATGATGATTTGTGATTCCGTGATATCGATATTGTTCTTGAGGCTGATGTAGTCTTGTGGTAGGGGGCTTGCACAACAAAGGAAACATATTACGATGCTTATGTTACAATAGATAGCTTGCAAGGAGGGATGGCACCTTATGAGGATTAGGATTGGTACCTGTCAAGGAATAGCCTTTGGTAGGAGTTATATATATGCTAATGATTGATATTGAAGAGTATTATAAGGACTGATGTTGTCGGCATCTTTTTAGACATTGGGCTGATGTAATGGTGCTGGTTTATTGGGCCTCAGTATCAGTCCCATATGGATGTCATCTCATTTAATACTGATATGACTTCCATTATGTTGACTGAGAATATTTTATTGCCTCCTTTGCCCTCCCTTGGTTTAATATTTATGTGATATTCATATTCTTTGCAGGTTTGATACTTTCTCTTGGTGGCTTTCTTACCTTTATGGTAACAGGAAGTCTTGCAGCCATAAGGTTTGGTGTAATTTTAGGTGGTGTCCTCTTGGCTTTAAGCATTTCAAGTCTGAGATCATACAAAAGAGGACACCCCTCTCCTCTAGCTTTGAAGGGCCAAGCTGGTAAGATCATATGCTTTGTATTCATGGTTAAATTTAAGGCACAAGTCATCATTTAAAAAGAGTTTATTGAACAAGTGCTTAGTTAAGCTCTATATCCAAACCCACCCTAAATGGGTTATACGAATACGATAATTAGCACATGTTTGAGAACAAATTATTTTTGGGTAAAATTGTTTTTTCTATAAGTTTTCCCCGCAAACTGTCAAAACAAAGAACAGATTGTTTTCTAAAAGTAAGCTAAACCAAACAATAACATCCACAAATATTCATACTGATTTGGTTTTGCAACAGCATTATACTATTATGCAACCAGTTGGTTTAATTGAAAATACATCCAATTGACTTTGTGAATGTAACAAACTTTTATGCATGAATTTATATATTGATGAGGGGGTGGGATTTAATATTTCTGCTAAAATCAGAGTTGCTGCTTACACAGTCCGATTAACCAATTTTCTTGCTCATTCAAGCTTATTTTTTTATTAAATCTTAAAAGGAGTTGGAATGACAATTAGCCTGTGTATTTAACTGTTGTAATGCCAACTTGCACTTGTTTCACAGAACTGTTGCATAGTTTTAGGGTTTAATCTTGCTTTTCTGTATAATTGATGCCTTATATATATGCCTTGAGTTATTATTTTTCTTTGGCTGGGACCGTTGATCCTGACTAATTTAAGTTACACTCAGTGTACCCATTTGAAAGGACAAAGTTCAACACTCATTTTTTACATTTACAAGACTCAAACTCAAGACTCTTTTTGCTATGATTTGTTTTGGTCATATTTTAAATACTAAACAAATTGCATCCAAATATATTATGATCATTCTTTACACTTATCCGGGTGACGATAATATGGTTACATCATTTATCACAACATGAACTTTTTTTTTAAAATCAATTATGTTTATTGGTTTCTGGACATTCCATGTATTTTTCTTTTTCAATTATGTGTATTTGTTTGTTTCTCAATCTTGAGGCTTATCTTAAATTACTTGGACTTGCAGCCATAGCAACTATATTGTTTCTGCGGGAGATAAGATCACTAGGCAAAGTAAGACATTCTTTATATTGAATATTTATCAAAATTATCTAACTTTCATGCCAATAAAATGGATATTAATTTAAAACTTTTGCTAATTTGTTCCTGTTTTTCTTTTCTCAGGGATCAACTTATTTCACTGCCTTGATCAGGTTCTTGAAACTTTATTATTAGTTAGCTTATATATGGACTTATATATCTTCATTTTGAAGTTAATTGTTACACTAGTTTTTTTGTTTTTCTTTGACATTCTAATCTTTGATTCAATGCTTTGTTTGCTCTTTCATATCAATTAATATTTTGTTATGTGACAACTTTGTTTTACATCTGCAGTACTGCAGTAGTGGCATTTTATGTCTATAGAATATTACTGGAACGTAATCAACAGAAGGGCTCAAACTTGGAAAGTGAACCAGAAAACTAGTTCCACGATAAGGTTAGCCTATTAAAATTCATAGATATTATATTTTAATCCAAAAAATCTTCTGGGGAACATATAAGAGAAATATTTCCCTTCCAACACATGCACTTTTCTTTAGTGTCAATAATTCATTTCTATATTCCACTCAGTGTCAAAAAATCAAGATCTGCGTGAAGATCAGATAAAGAAACTGAAGATCTACTTGAAAATGGTCGGAGTAAATTTTGGTGATTATTTATTTTTTTATATAGTTTTTCACGGGCTGGGTCATCATAGACTAAAGACTCCCTGCTGAGGGTTTTGGTTCCATGCCTGGAAAAATGAAGCTCGGAAAATCTGGATAAAATTTCATGTGTACTTTCATGTTTAGTTGTGGTTTATTTGGAAAATTACAAATATCATGTTATGAGTAACCTCTCTGAGGTGGGATATTACTAAAATCTAGATATATTTTAGTTTTTTTTGGGGCCCCTCTGTGTTTGTCAATTTCTCCTCGATCTTTGTGTGGCTTGGGGAGAGTAACCTTGACCATGCACTTTAGAAACATCAAAATAAGTACCTAGCTCCTTGTGTTTTTCTCCCCGCAAGAAGGGAAATTTTAAAACGTAAAGGTTAACTTAAGCGTGGGATTGTAAACTAATTTGATTAAAACGCTTTTTTATTAATGTTTCTTCTGTACCAAACTGGAAGGATGAGAACAAATGCAGCTGACGTAAGTTCCCTTTAGCTTCTTTTAGCAGTTGAACAAATTACAATACTGATTTATTGTCAAAGCATGTCTTTGTGCAATATAATGTATTATAAAATAATGAAAATTAACCCAAAAAAAATAATGAAAATTGAAGTAACCTATGCATTGATAATCTTTTCCCATTCGTGTAATCAGAGCTATTAGAAAATGCTCGTGCCAAAGGAGTGAAGTTGATGCTGATTAGATCTGTTCCATATGGGTGAAATATAATTAATCCAGCATTATTGAATAGTCGATGATTTTTTTTGCAAAATTTGTTATATGTTGAAGGCCATTATCAATGTATTGTTTGGTGCTGCCATCGGTCAAAACTCTTTCCCCTCTCCGTTGTAAAATACGATGTTTGGTGCTGCTCGGATGAGGATTTGGGATGGAGTGGCTTGGGATCCTCTTCTGGGGTTGTGCCAGATGTGTGGGGTTTGTGGGTAGGGAAGGGAGGGTCGAGAGGAACATCAAAGAAGTTACAAAGATTATAAACGAAGGCACTGCGAGTAGGAATGAAGATAAGCCTGATTGTTTGACAAGGGTTTATAGCTTAGTTTTTTTAAAGTTTAATTCAACTTAATCTATTTAATTAATAAGTTTAATTTAAGTTTTTTAAAAAGTTTAATTAATGAAATAAATCAAGCTTGAGCTTAAATTTTTTTTTATTAGAATATTTTATAATAATATATTAAATAATTTTATATAAAATTATAATATAATAATAATAAAATTTTAAATTAAAAACTCTAATTTTTTTTGTTAGAGTTGAAAAGAGTTTTTACTAAATACTTTTTAAGAGAGAGAGTTTTATTGACTAAGTCTTTTGCATATTTTATATGTATAATAATGATTTACATTGTGTTATTTTAATTACGTTTATGTAATTTAAAAGTGATAAATAAAAATATGTAATTTTATTATATATATTCAGGATGTTCAATTATTATTTTTTTAATAGTTTATTTATTTATAAGCTTTATGACTTTTAAAGGGATATATTTATATAGATAGTTTAATAGCCTATTTATAAAAAAGTTTAATGACCTATTAAATATTTTAATAAGCCGTTAAAAAGATTAATAAATAAAATTAAACTTTTAAAAAGATAAAATTAAATTTAATAAAAAGTTTATAATAAATAATGTCATATCTAAATTTTAAAATTATTAAATAAATAAGACATATATATACAAAATTAACATAGTCTATTTTCATCCCTAATTGGGAGGGGGTAGACCCATGCGAGTGTTTGGAACAAAGAGAAATGGGCTACTTAACCGTTTGCCTTTTCAAGCGTCTTTGATATTGCGTAACTGCTTGTGATTTTGTGACCATATCAAGTTTCACTCTTCTGACAACGCTGTTGATGGTAGTGTTGGCTTAACACAACATTCACAAGATTTATCACTAGCAACCCATACGTCACCAGGTGTCACAAGGCGTAGTGAGTTGCATGCCCATGTTAAAAAACTTGCAGAAGTTGGTGTAGAACAGCTTTCACATCTGTCTTTCGATTTGGAATATCATCAGTAAGAAAACAGTGTTACTGAGGAACTTAATTTAGAAATACTAATGAAAGGAAAGGATCAGTTTGTTGTTAGGTATTTGACTAAAGGAACATTGGAGATTGTTACCAAGTATTTGACCAAACAAGTTCATCAGAATTTCTATAGAACCTATTACTAAAATAGTCCTGGAAGAGATTCTAAGTGGAGTAGAAAGAGTTTTTAAAGACAACAACATTTTTGACGCACAAACTATGAGGAATATATCATCCCAGAGTTATTTTTTTAGTTGGTGGAGGAAGAGATTGAGTGTTAAGCTATATTATTTTAACTACTTTAATTTTAAGTGTTATTTAGCGTGATATTTTAACAAAAGTTAATATTATTATGATATAAATTTTTAGTTGAACTAGTAAAATCGTGAATTAATGAGTTAGTTTAAAAATTTTTAATTTTTTTTATGGTCATAATTCTAGTTACTAATTTGACAGTTTATTCAAATTTTTTATCTTTCAAGACTAAATTGATGTTAATTTAGAAGTAATATATAACCTTTGGACAAGCCCACTTTTTTATGATTAAACTGTGTTTTGTCTTTAAATAAAACTAGTTTGCTAACCATCGTTAAAGGGATGCTTGTTTGAGTTTTGATTTTTTAAAACGTAAATTTTAATTGCTAATGATAAATGTATTCAAAATTAAACCAAATTATTTTTAAACCACTAAGTTGATATAGAGAAATGAAAAAAAAAAAAGATTAAACCGATTAAACCAAAAATTGAAAAAATTACATTTTATATTCCAATTCGGTTCACATTCTTAAAATCAAACCAAACTGGATTTATAATAAATTTATATTTTTTATTGCATTTTTATATAAAAAATATTTTTTATTGAATTTTATTATAACATTATATAAATATATAGTGCATCCTTTCTATTTATTTTAACTTTATTTTTCTCAATTAAATATTTTTCTATCAATAATTTATTTTTATTTTTTATTTTTTTATGATCATTTCTTTTCTCTATTTTTTTTCAACAAACTCATTTAAATTTTTGAGTTACGACTTACTGTAAATTTAAAAATAGATTAAAAGTTATAATAATTAAAAAAATTAATAATAAAAAAAATCAATCTAAATTGAACTAATATTTTCTAGTTTGAGTTGGTCCAATTTTCAAATTATATTTAAATAAAACTAAACTGAATCGCATGTTATTTTTATATGTAGTTTATATGATTTTTTGAAGAAAAATTAAACTAAAATAATGTTTTTATATACATACAAGATTCAAATCCAAAATCTTAATTAAGAAAAATCAAACATAAATTACTTAACTTTGACTAGTAAAAACATGTTTTAAAAGGTTAGTAAAATTATATATATATATATATATATATATATATATATATATATATATATATATATTTGATTAGTAGCTAAAAATTGTAGTTATTTCTACAAATTAAAAATATTATAACAGAGTATTAAAAAGGTGGTATCTCCTTCAATAAATCATGTTTCCTATCAATCTCAATGCGATTCTTTTTCAAAAACTATACATCGTCTTTCGTTTCTATAATAAATATTCGGCATTGATAAAATGAAAGCTTAGCTTGTTCGATTAGTATTATCTTATAAAATTAATATTTAAACGAAAACATGCGCCATGTAGTCTCCAGAAAATTAATAGTTTCATATATAAAAATCTTGTGATGAACTAAGTAATAATTTATGTCTTCAACTTTACTCTTCCATACCAAGTATAATGTCCCGAACAGAAAATGGTGCAACATTTTGGAGCCAAAGAGAAAAAACACATAAATTTATCAAGAGATTGTTACTATCTCATAAACAAACCAAAGGATAATATGCCAACACTATTTTGGCTTGAAATTTACAAAGTTAAATAATAATAAAAAACGAAAATAAATTCTGCTATTAGAGTGAGGTAAGGAAAAAAAACACTAGAGGAAGGATCATAACATACTGAGCAAGCTTATGAAAGCTTGGATATCACTCATCTCCATTTAGGTGTAGAGATCACGCCAAGTTACTAAGTAATCTTTAGACTTCTCAAAGAAGTAGAATACTTAGATCTATACATCATGACGAACTTGATTAGAGACCTCAGGTTGATTATCCAAAGGCATGTATTGAGCCATTATTGCACGAATCTCGGAATCCATATATCTCTGCCAAATTTTTTTTTAAAGAATTAACAAACAATTTAAGGATGACAATGCATAAAAATTGACACATATCGTTGGCAACAAATCAACAAGACTCAAAAAAATAAAATAAAAACTGAAGTTACTTTTGTTCATATTCTGACACTAGTGTCTAAATGTGGCATTAATATATGAACAAAACTTCAAACTTGCATACTCATACCTGGATTCTGTACTTGTAAAATGCATATCCTCCAGAAACAGCAACCACCACAACGAGGATAACCATCCAGATGTTTACTGAAGAAGTATATGAACCTGCACCTGCATATATACATTGATGATTAGAACGGCAGGAATAAAATGTTGAAACCTTTGCAAATAATATACATGTGAATAGAATCTAAAGCCTCAACTGCATGCATAGAGTATCTACAACTCGATCAAGATAAGGAACTGCGAGTTTGGAAGGGAAAGCACACTAGAATTTTCCATTTTAGTTTAAAAGCAAATTTAAACTAAAATGGAAATTTGAACCTGATGTGCTTCTCAAAGAAAAACTTGATACTTCACGGATAGAAAAGGAAATGCCAGGGGAGAATTGTCCAGTGACAAGTGCAAAATCATAAGATATTATACAAAAACAAGCATTTAGCAAGACAGTTTTGAAAGCAGTACAGAAAATGATAGAAAAACTAAAAAAGCCTCACCAAAACACACGTCATTGTCTTGCGAGTAGATCATACCCCTACTGCATTTGCACTCATAACTCCCCCAGGTGTTTTTGCATTTGCAATCTGGGCACCGACAGGCCAATTTCTCTTGGCACTCATCAATATCTGCAACATAATCAGAAGAAGAATATAGAAAAGGCAATATTTTCAAGAACAGCTAATAGCATGATTAATAATAACTGCAGGTATCTAGATCACATTCAAAAAGTCAACACTAGTACACTAAGAGAAGTAACTCTCTCTGATGTGTATTTGTGGTTCGTCAGATAATAGAATAATACGCCGAATTTAGGACAGGAAGTACCTTCACATGACTGGACTCCATCCCCTCTGAACCCAGGTGGACATGTACAACCCTTTTTTTGGTCATCCTGCATTATCAATTAAGAAACAAAAGACAGTTACTATCTAGCACATAAGTCTTGCTCCTACCCCTTCTAACCAAAAGCATGCACCAAAGGATGACCAAGACAACTTACAATACAGGCAGAGTAAACCCTGCCACGTTGGGCTCCCTTCCAACAACCACCATTGTTGATTTCACACCTCAAGGATTCTGAAGCTGTTGAAAAATTCAAATTCCATGAAAATGAAACCCATAAAGAAATTGAAATTAACATAAGTAGAAACTTCACAACCTCCATGCCACATAGACTACAAGGACAAGAAACAAATTATGTAGAATGACAATCATGGATAAAAATTAAAAGTGTAGACAGAACAAAAGGAGTTAGAAATATAAACCCCAAACATCAATTTGGTGAGATGATGATAATATGTGTTCTATTTGTGAGTTAAATTGGAAGACTCCTTAATGTCTTGGAAAACTTATATATTTTCTGTTTGTGCAGTTTCTGGCAGAAATAGATTTTAAAATATGTAGAATGAAGCAATTTATCTGAATTTGACAATCTAATTTACCTTCGCAGTGGGTATATCCATCGCCAAGAAACTTCACATTTTGCACAATAGGGCATTCACATACTCTTCCTCGGAAAGTGTCCTATAATTAGAAAAACGTGCAGATGATTGAAACCATAAGAGCAAGATCTCATGTGAAGTAAAAACATAATGAACTTTTCACAATAATATGCCTAACAAGGTTCAGTTAACCAAATACCCTGCATGCAGTAATGTTAGAAGATTTGTCCTGCCAACAACCACCATTGTTCACCAAACACTCATTTGTTTCCATGTCTGCAAAGAATGATTAGTAAAATCATTAGCTCCTGAACAAGATTCAATTTCAACGAGTCAGCTGCCAGTACATCTATGATTCTATCTAATCATAATCCAGATAGTTCTTCTATCAAAATTGAAAGATGAAAGCATCAGAATGAAAAAACGAGGAAAGAAGAAAATTTCAATGTTATGACTTCTAGAACTACCTAATAAACACAGCTTGTTGATACATAAAAGGCAACAAATAATCCAGATCATTTGAAGCTTCTATATATAAAAGCAAACTCTCCTAAAAGATATAAAAAATAGTGAATACTGTAGAGGCAGAAAAAAATTCCTGCAGTTTCCTATAATATTTTTTTGGGGGGAGGGGAAGATTCAGGGTGAAAAGTAAAAATTAAAATGGAAATGAAAAAAGGACCTGGAGTTAAGCAAATTGATGGTTCAGTGGTCTCTAGGAAACCTGCACATATTGCCTTAAGAACAGCAGGTCTTGACAATTTACCTAAAAGCAGATGAAAACACACATTATATAATATAATATGGTCAGATAGCAGTCAAGATATCTAGAAAAGCTGCCTCATACCTCTATACTGTCCGTTGTTTATAACAAGAGTAGGCAGTATAGTAACATCGCCACGAGTGCCTTTGCCAATCTGAAACAGAAGTTGGAACAAAATACAATCATAAAACAGAAGAAAGGCCAAAATGAAAGAACAAGCCAACAAGAATTACCATAAAAAAATGTTTTGTACTTTTGAAAACTAACCTGTGCTTCCTGTTCAGCCTTAAGAACAGGATTGTCAACATTTGCATGAGGATCTCCAACGCAGTCTTTAATCTTCTTCAGATCAACACCTGTAAATTAAATGGAAGACAAAAAGAGGGAGAGAGGGACAAGCATATCAGTTATTAGAATGATGCCATAAACCTTTTTAAAAGAACTTTTGAGATAACGAAAGACTAGTTTAGTTTATGCTAAAAATACAACAAAGGAAAAAGACAATGGCTAGGTACACGATTCTTATGTTGGGTTCATGAGAATGCCAGTGATACTTCCATCAGTGCTAATACAAATTTGGGTTGTTTGTCATATATACCAAAGCTTTATCATTTTTGAGTGATTATTTCAAGGTTTACAAAGTTATACCTGGGAAAGTAAAGTTGGGAATATGACATTCCCATGTTTGATACAAGCCCAAAAACAGAATTCCTAAGTACTGTTGATTCTGAGGAGAGTGACAAAATCTATATTTTGCTAAATTTTCATTCCTATGGTGAAGGGCAGCTATGTTGCTTTCTCATGGTAATATGGGATATTGTTTCATAACCCAACTATTAATTTCAATTTTCACTCTCTTTTTTCTTCTCATTTGGCTTTTTGAAAATTATGAAATATTAAATTTTAGCCAAACATATTTATTGAATTTACCCTGGAATAACAATTTTAATTATAGCTTCCCTAAGAATGTAATTCCTTGGATCATAATAATATACCTTCAAACAAATGCCTCCTTATAAAACAATGCAATGCTGGGGGCACTAAATTATTAAAAAAAAAAAAATGAAACCAAGGAGATACATAATATATTGTTTGAAATTAAAATCATTATATGATTTTTCTTTTGGGCAAATTGCTGCAAGCCATTCAAAATCAAACACCAAAGAAAAGCACAAGCCAGTTTCAAAGTGTATGCATAGAAAAATGGAATGCTCAACGTACCAAGAGATTTAATAACTTGATCAGAGCATTCTTCTGTGTACTTTTTCTCTTTCATGGGGCAACGAATTGAAAAGTCAGTCACGTAATCCCACCATTGCCAAGGCTTTCCACTTTCATTTGCCACTTTAAAGAAGCAAGCTTGGCGTAAGTTTTGAACAACAACATCTTTGCCATCATACCCGCTATTGAAGTCTTGTTCAGGATCTGGAGCACAGTACCTTCCATTGTTTATGCACTGAGACTTGCACTGTTTGCTCAAGAGAAATGCTTCAGGGCAATACCAAGTTATATAGTGAGGGGTAAACTGACTGAACCCTTTCTGCTCAAGTAGTTGAGCTGCACCTTTAAAGCTCTTCAGAAAATCAATTTGATTGTCACACTTTGGACCACACTGATCATTGCTATTTGTCCATAACTCATACTCGACTCTATCATCGGGATGCGGAAGTGCCTCTCTCCAATCAAGATTTATGTTAACCATCTCTCCATTAGAGAGAGCCTCCTTGATTTTATCCCCCACAGATTTGCTGATAAGAGCAGAAGGAATAATAATCTTTTCCACATAACCATCATTTGAACCATTCCCTTCTTCAGGAGTGTCCATGGTGATCAATGTTTCTGACTTGTCATCAGCTACAAGAATAGCTGCTGCTCCACCATTCTGTGCATTCCACGCCTTCAAAGTGAAGTAACAATCTACCAAAATGACCATGGGAAAATTTTAAAGGGTTAATCCATTTTTGTGTGGTTGTGTTCCTAACAACCAATGTGTTGACATCTTCAGCATAGCACCATGCAGTCTAGTGTACTTTTATCTCTACTCCCACCATCATTCATACCCAAGAAAAACAAATTAACATAAACTCAAGACATGAGAAACTCTGCATCCTTGACTTTAGCATTGCATGCAACATTTACAATATCTCTTGCAGAAACTCCCAGCGAACTTGTTACATTATACTGGGAAGATCTACAGTGTTTCTTCTGATATCAACTTAATTACTTAAAACCAGAACATAACAAAATTAGAAGGAAAATGATATTCAATTAATTAAATAAGTAACTCCTACTTTCTGTGTTAAGCCAAAAGTAGCACTAGAAACTAAAATAAAACGGAATTCCAATGCACAAGATATTCAAAATTACCGTAATCAAAATAAAGGATGGAAATTGAAACAGTAGCTCAGTACATATTTACATCCTCAAAATAACATGTTATGCGAGCAACCACTGAACAGTCCCCAAATATTTCATAAAACTTTGACTTCTTATTTTAAATTTAATTAGATCACACTGACAGTCTAAAAGTTTTTACATTGCCACTTAATTATAAATTATCATATTATTGAAAATTGTTGACTTCTATAGTAATTAATCAGTTTTGCAAACCTTTGTCATTAAGGCGGCTGATTTTAAGCATCTAAAACTAGTAAATTTATTTTTAGAATATAACATTTATTATACTTTTACATTTTTAATGTAATAAATATTTTCATTCCCAATAAAGACTTCCCATCTTTAGTAATTTAACTTGTTAATAAAAAATATACTTGTTTATCTTTCCCTTTCTGTAATGGGATATTCACAAACTAAAGAGTTTAAAAGGACTAATGAAAAACTCACCTCCTCGATCAACTAGAAGAAATGTGGGAAAACTTCCGGGCTTGGACTGAAACGAAACATCAACATCACTGAAGTTTCTGCATCCCTTTTGATTCACCTTTGGGTACACCACAGAGCCAACCAATGTTCCTCCGTACTTTGGGACCCCAAAATTCCCAATTGCACATTCATATGTACCCTTCAACGATTTGGGTGAAGTGACTTTCAAACTGTTCTTCTCCACCACAAACCTACCCAAACAACACCCCAACACCAAAAACGAAACGCACAACAAAAAGCTTGACTTTGCACTCATCATCTTCTTCCCACGTTGCAAAAGAGGAAGAAGATCGAGATCAACGATAAAAACTGAAATTCAAAGTGGAATTTATGCAAGTGTGATCAAAGGGTGAAGACCCAGATGAGGAAAATGAGAATAGAGGCCCAAAAATGAGGCTTTTCGGGTTCTGGAAGGTTTATTGGTTTCTGGGTCAGCAAGGTGATGCGTGAGAATGGAAAAGCATCGAAACCTTAAAGGTGTCGAAATGAAGAACCAAATGGTGTAAACGTGTCAGTTACGTTCAACTGTAATTGAAATCGTCGCCGTAGGAAAAAAACAAACACAAACAGAAACGAAGATTTGTTATTATTAACGTCGTCATTGTTACAGATGCTGCTATTGTAATTTCCATTTTTTTACCCATTTTTTACCCATTTTTTTAATCGCCAATAACTTGTTGAGACAATTTCTTCCTTTTCCTTTTTATGAGGACTTGTTCAGACTTAACTATGCTTCAAGTTTTCTTATTATATAATCGATATATAATTTTATTTTTTTAATATTTTTATTCAAATTTAATATTTAAATTTTAGTTATTTTAATTAAGGTATATTTTTATTTTTTATTTAAATTTTTTGTAACCAATATAAATTTATATTATATCATATTTTCATCATTTTTTTAAAATTTATAGGACAAAATATTAAATAAAAGGCTTAGTTTTTACAATAAAAAAATGATAAAAATTAACATATGTAAGAATTTTGATGTAAATGTAATTTGTTTAAAATGTTAAGGGTGTAAATATAAAAATATTGAAAGCTAATTGTAATAAGTTAAATATTATTTGAAATAATTTTTTATAAGGTAAATGTTATTTTTAATTTTTCTTATTAAATAATTTTAATAGCTTATTGTCAAAATAAAAAAAAAATTATAAGACAGTGTTACCAAATATAACTTTATTTATTCATATTATATAACTGATTAAAATGTATTAAATAACTAAAAAAAGATTAATGTGTGTAAATTATCTACAAGGTTAAAAATAAAAATATGAAAAAAAATTTGTAATCAACTTTCAAAATATTACAAATTTTTAAACAAGTTAAAAGCTTGTGTTATCATACATGTAAGTTGATTTTTTTTTTAATAAAAAATTACTAAATGTAAGTTTATTTAATTAATTTAAAAATGATAAAATAAATGCTTCAAAAAACACAAAAATAAAATAAATAATTGTTATAACTTCCATTACTTTCAAAAGCAAAAGATTGTTATAATCTTAAGGAGGATTTAAAAAATCATCAAATATATTTTTCCATTAAAAAATTATAAATCCATTTATGTTAACTTATTAAAATAAATTAAAATATAAATAATAAATAGTTTAAAATATTAAGTTGTGATTAAGTTATTATATATATATATATATATACACCGAATGGATGGATAAAGTCAAGCATCGTGCTTGCGGAAGTATTCAAAAATACAAAATAAGACTGGTTGCTAAGGGTTATATCAATTTAGTAATTTTTTTTATTGTAGGATTATTATTAAATTAAAATAAATTTTTAACTAATTAATAAAAATATATTACACGAATTTCAAAAAATTAATAAATTTAAATAAGATTAATATTATAATGATTAATAATAAATATTTTATTATATTAAATAAAATTAAATGAAGAGATAAATATAAATTATACAAAATTCAAAATTTTATTAAATTAAAAATATTTTGACATGGTGAAAAAAAAATCAATTCTTAGAAGTACTTCTGTTTTAAAAAGATTCCAAAACTACTGATGTTTAAAAATTTAGAAATTATATACCAAAGTTAATTAAACTATTTGGTTTTAAAAATGGTACACTTCACCATATTAAAGATTCTTCTGGCCATTACAACAAAAAAGAGCGGTTTTAAAAATTAAATCGATCTTAATATTGTGTTTCTTGGTAAAGACCTTCATGAAGATTCTTCTTTGCCTCTAATTCCATGCTTGCTTCTTCTTCTCTCATGGGAAAAAAAAAAACCACTCTATCAAGATCTTCAAAGGCTAAACACAAAAACTTTAAAAGTTGTTTCGTTTCAAGAAATATTTCTTTTATTTTAATTTTATTTTATGTTTTTAAAGATTTGTACAAGAAATACTAAAAGATATTCTTTTTTATTTTCTGTATAAATCTCAAAATATATAATGAAAATAAGGCGGTAGTTTTATAATTAAAATAAAAATAAAAAAACATTTTATAAACTAAACCCACCCTTAGTTTCTCTTAGTTTTTGTAAGCTCCGATGGATTTTATGACAATCATTTCTCTTAGAATATAATAATTGCATGAAAAGATAATTAGACGATTATAATTAATTAGGATAATTATCTATAAATATGTAAAATTAGTTTTTTTTTTTTTAACTTTTATTTTCTGAATAAATACTGACTGTGCTTGTGTGGTTTCAGTAACGAAAAGGCTTGAATCCTCTTCTCAAGTCTCAACAATTAATAATGATAATAATTATTTTTAAAATGATAAAATTATTTAAAATAAAAATAAACAAATTTTTTTAAAATGAAACAACACTGATTATCTAACATTTAATTTAAAGAAAAAGAAAGAAAAGCATAAGAAGAAAACTTGCTCTAATAATAATATAATAACTCATTTCATAACTTCTTGATAAGCATGAAAAACATTTTTTGAACCATTGGAGGGAATACTTAAAGTATTTTCTTCATACTTATGTATATTTTTAAGATGCATGTATACAAAAAAAATATAAATAAATAAATATAATAATTTAAAGTATCAATTTTTAATTATTTAATATCATCATTGCGATAAAGACATAATTACGAACATACACAGCACTTAACTAGTTTTAAAAACCTAAAAAAAGAAAAAGAAAAAAAAATGTAGACGTTGACAGTGCCCTTGTGATTCACATGGGCGGCAATTGGCATTAAAAAAACTAGGGTCACTTTAAAAAAAAAAAACTAGATAAGCAGTAAGATAACTATATTTAATATGACTTAAATTTAAATTATAAGTCAAGTTAAAATATAATTATATACGTATAACTTTTGGTCAATTGATTTATGTTGATTAGTGACTTGTTATATAGCTATTTTTAATTTATAATTTATAATTTTTAGAAGATATATATTATTTTTGTGAATAGAAAAATTTAACAAATTTCCTCAACCCTTTATCAATCTAAACCAAACGGAGGTGAGCAAAACTTATTTTGTGATTTATTAATTCACAATTTGAGAAGAAAAGAGTGTGATTGATGAGTAATGTTTTAAGTTTATAGTGTAGCAATGTTTCTGTGCAGTTATTTATCTTAATGTCTTCAGTTTTCTCCCATAACTTCAAATTGTGTCATGTTAACTTAAAATCCCTTAAATTCTTAGTTTTTTTTTAAATCTAGAGTTTAATAAATTGAAAAGTCAAAAGATAACAAAATCAACAAGGGACTGTCTATTCATATTTAACCAGGTTAAAGGATTTTCTCCACTCCAGCCATAACACAAGCATCCATTAACTTATGTATTTTTTAAATATTATTAATTTTAGATAAAATTTTATTATTTTTAGTTTTAAAATATTTGGCTAAAACAAAAATTATAAAAATTGTTAACATTATTCTATTAGTAATATTTAAAAAATAATTAATAATAAAGTCTTATGTAACAGAGTATGTTTTTTTAGGCAATAAATCAAATTGCAATAGAATATACTTTTACATTATATAAACTTTTTACAGGATAATTTAATTGTAAAATTAAGCATTAGATCAATCTAAAATAATTTAATACTATATTCTTATATATTAAATTTAAAATAATATACATATTTAAAATATATAAAAAAATAGGACATTTTGATTGAATTTTTATAATTATTTGATTTTAATAATATTTAACATAAATAATTATGATAATATATAATTATAATTTAAGAATTATAATTAAATATTTTTCTTTCTTTGAAAGTTAATAATTTTAATTTTTTTTCTATTTTTATTTATAAATTTTTTAAAAACTTCCCACTCTAAAAATTAACATATCAAAGTTCACATCTGAGTTGACAAGGTATCAAATTGAAAGGATTGGAATCATACAACAGTGACACAAAACATGAGATAATACAGAAAGCATTTATCCCTGTATCAGCATGCAAATATAAAGTAGTTGATGTTACATTTAACTGTTTTCTTATCAAGTAACCATTAATTCAAGAAATGACATTAATGCAAATATCAAAACCCTTTACTTAGAAAAAGATGGAACAAAATCAAAGACAATTGATGCATCACATCCAGAGTTAAATCATTAAAAAAAAAAAACATTTTTAAATGATATTATTAATTGTAGAAAAAAGTTATCAGCATAAAATTACATGAACTCCAAAATAAAGAGAGATATAGCTGTGATTCAAAATTGTATAAACACAACAAGTAGTAAAGAGAAAAATCAATCCAAATAAGAAGCATATCTGAACATAATTTTTGCTTAGATTCGATAGCATTGTACAAATTAAAATTGCCATACAAAACTACAAAGATTTGCAATTGAAAAGAAATAGAGTTTGCAAGGATTTGAAATTGTAGAGAAAGAAAGAGAGTAACAGTGAGACAAAACTAAAGTTTAAGAGAAGAAAGAAATAACTTGATTGATGAGATGAAAGGGTGAGAACAAGTTTGCGCAAAAGAGTCAGGGATTTAAAAAGATAAATTAGTTATTTTACAATTACTTAAAAAAAACTCAAATTAGAATAACTCAAAAATTCAAGTGAAATTTTTCTCTTCATTTTTCTTTAAGGGTTAACAAGTTAATATTTTTTAAAATATTACTGGTAACTAAAATTATTTATTGTTTTTTCACTTAATACTTATATTGTAATAAAATATTTTATTTTTAATAACTTAAAATAAATAATAAAAATTAATGTTAGTAAAATTATTTTTAAAATCGTTTCATGTACTCATTTTTTTTTTAAATTGTAGAAATAATTTTTTGCTGGCAAGAACATAGCATTTGCAAGCTATGAACTTCATAATTAATGAAAGAAGACAGTGGAGGGAGCCAACCTGCTTAATTAGGATATTTGGTAGCAAATTAAATTCATACTAATGGGATAAACATTTTTTAAATCCAAATCTCTTTTCCTTTAATCTTCTTCCTTTTCTTTCAGGCTTTCAGGTGTATATTATCATTTTTGCATTATTTACATCACCTTTTTTTGTTCTTATTTTACTTACGCTATTTTTTAAAATTTATTGTTTCAAAATATATTAACATTAAGTTTTAAATTTTATTTATAAAAAACTTTCAAAATTTAATTTTTAGAGTGTGTAAACATACTTGATAATTAAATGCAGAAAACAAAAAAAAAATGTTATTAACAAAAAAATTAACACGAAAACTAATTTTCAGCACTCGTTTACTATTGTTCTGTGTGTTTGTGTAGTAAAAACAAATTTTTATCTTCAATTTAAAATTATAAAACAAATCTTTAACTTTGATTTTAATTTTACTCTTATTTTGTTCACTTTCTTGCACTTTTTTCTCTATTACAATGCTCTTATAAAATTATAATACTAAAAATAATACAAAAATATAACATAGCAATTTAAGATAATTATAATTAAAAAGTAAAAAAATTCAGAAAATAAACAAAGTAGTATTCAAAATTAAAAATATAACATAGCAATTTAAGATAATTATAATTAAAAAGTAAAAAAAATTCAGAAAATAAACAAATTAATATTCAAAATTAAAGTTAAAATTGAATATTATTTTTTTATTTTCAAATAAAAATGGACTTTTGTTTCGGTGTGTATTAAATTTATTTTATTCAATTATTAAACAACGTGATATTGACATGTTAATTGTTTATATAGATTTTAGATAAATTAAACAATTATATATATCTAATTTTATTGTTAATATTTTTTATATTTTAAAAAGTATATTAAATATTAAAATAAAATTATTTGATAAAGTGTCAATTACATTTTTCTTTAATTATCTATTCATTAAAAGTTATTAGTTTAACAATTTAATCAATAAAAATTAAATTTTATAGTCATTGAATGGAAGAGTTATTTCTAGAATTGTGTATTAAATCATGTTTTTTCTTTATTTATATTTTTTTATTTACATTTTCATGTAAAAAAGAGGTAATAATTTAGACACTTTAAACATATAATTTATTAATTTAAATATTTTTAAATTTATATTTTTATATTTTTAATAAATTTTAATTAATAGTAAAAAGTGTGTTAGAGTAGATAAGTTTACTCACAACTGATATATATGACAGGAAATAGGAGACGACAAACCGATATATGAGGATGAATTGGAATAAGAACAGTTGAGTATGTTCAATGTGATGCTCTGTATTCAGCAAAGTCCAAAACACTTGAAGACAGAGTCACAACCACTGAAAAGGCCCTTCTAGAAGGGATGATCATATATGTTGTGACGAACAATATAAAGTACCACTTTAAATATCTCAACATGTGAAAATGTTACTTTTTATTGTGTCTCCAACAATTCTTCAAACAAACAAAGATCAAATAATATTTGGCATTAGATATTATTATTGGAAATGGAACTATTTTTGCTTCCCCTGCCTTCAGTGCAGGGAAAACAGAACACGTACACAGACAAGAGAGTGTGAACACTTATTTTTGGTGTCATATCCCCAATAACCTCACCACTACAACGCTTGTCACAAAGATACCCAACTCATTACTCATTCAAGTCATCCCCTGTCTCTCTGTGTACCCATATCCCCAAACATTTTTTGAATAGGATTTGTTTAAGCTATTAAATACAGCAAATAATCCTATTTTAAATGCAATTGCATTTCATTAACATTAATTTAGGATTGTAACTTTCTTAAATTCCTTTTGTACGAAATCACTGGAAATATGGGAAATCTAAAAGGTAATACTAATAATAAGAAACGAAATGGTGCATTTAACTTCAAAATATATACATGTCAGTTGCACTAAAGTATAGCTGGTTCAGCACAATATGAAGCACCAGTTAGCAAGAATGACTCACATGAAAATAAAAATGCATAAAAGAACATGTCTTGACACTGCCACTAAGTCCTTTTTTCAAACTGTTTATTTGCATGTAGCAAATATCTTTTCAAATTAGGGACTGCATCAAAGCTAATCCTTACAATGAAATGGACAATAGCACAAACCCTACAAGAGTATACATAAATTTGCTCTAAATTCCAACCAAGCCCATATTTTTTCCATAGCTATATCAAAAAATATGAAGGAAACAATGACTAACTATAAATGTTGTGCTTAATTAATTGTCCTTAGCATGTTTTGGAGCATTTAGAGACTCATACACTTTTACAAAGATTCTAAAGTTAACTCAAACAAAGAAAAAAAATAAGAACAGAAATCTGAAATATGGTTTATTTAAACGCATTTTGTCTAACATATTTTTTATTATTAATTAAAATCTATTAAAAATTACAAAAATATGAGTGAGGAATATTTAAAATAAGAGTAATATCTATATAATTTTTAATGAATTTTACTCAAAAATTAAAAATGTGTTTGAAATTAAAAAATAGGAGAAAGTCCACACAACATAGAGGGAATCCACTTAAACAGCAAGAATGACCAAAACTATAACTTTCGTAGACATGATCTCTTGAAGTGATGTCACCGTACCTAAACCAATAGAGACATCAATGAAATTTTTGTTGATGGTTCCAAGAAAAGTAGCACAATTCCAAAACAATGTTCAATAAAATGAAAAATGTTATTAGCACACCGAAAGATAAAAATTAATTAGTATAAGTTACGTATGACTCAAACCCCACGTCAAGTTTAAGTGTCCATTATATCATTTCCACTAAAGAGAGGAGCCGTAGCACTAACTATAATTAAAAAATAATATCTCATGCATCATTCATTTTCTTATAATATACCATTCTGCTTTCCATGGCATTCTCTGCGAGAAGAGACCATTATAAAAAGATCTCTCATTTTATTTAGTGTTACCAAACCAACCAACCATAAGGCCATAGCTTTCCTTCTTCCTTCATCACCAGGAAAGATGGGAGTCACTGCTTATTTGGACACCATATTGGTCCCTTTGAGTCTTTTCATTACAGTGGGTTACCATGCCTATCTTTGCCACACCATCAAGAACAAACCTTCACGTACAACTTATGGAATCAGTAAGCTCAGAAGAACAGCTTGGTGTCTCAACTTAAATCAGGTAATTGCATGTGATGAATAGCATATTCAATATGTTCAATGTCTCAACTTAAAGCGATTATTGATACATCTTTATGGTAATTTCTAATGTATAGTTTACATGATTTTTAACATAATATTTGTTTTAATTCTTAAGGGTATTAATTAGTACGATCTTAGATTTAATGTATATTTGAAAATGAATTAAAATCACATTTTAAGATAAAACTTATATATTATATCTACGTCTGAATCAATTTCACACCAATCACAATAACTGTTATTTAAAGAATAAATTCTCATGCATTAAATTTTAACCCGTGGTGCAAAACCTTTGTATCTATTTCTCCTTTCTTAAATATTCACCAATTTTAACAAGGGCACACCAATATAATGCTTATAAAGAGAATTCACATAATAACTTCAAGTAAAATTTGAACAGGAGAGGATTCAAAAGATTAATGAATTGGGTTATTGGAGCTCGAATATTTATTAGATTTGGCTTGTCATGGTGCAGGGTGATGCCAGTAAGGCTATGTTGACAGTGCAAAGCATGAGAAACGCTCTTATGGCAACCATACTCACAGCTTCTATAACCATTCTTGTTAACTTGGCTTTGGCAGCTCTAACCAACAACGCCTACAATGCTAGCCATCTCTTTAACAGTGGACTTTTTGGCTCAAAGTCAGATAAAATCTTCATTTTGAAGTATGGATCAGCCTCAATTTGTTTGGTGATTAGCTTTGTGTTCAGTTCCATGGCCATTGGATTTCTGATTGATGCAAATTTTCTTATGAATGCATATGGAGATTTCTTGTCAGGGGGTTACACACAAACTATACTAGAAAAAGGGTTCACATTAGCTCTTGTTGGAAATAGGGTACTTTGTGTTGCTGTTCCTTTGATGCTATGGATGCTGGGTCCAGTGCCAGTGTTTTTAGCTTCCTTAGCGTTGGTTTTTGTCTTGCACGGATTTGATTTTGTCTGCAAATTCCCAGAAAACCATAAGCAATGTAACACTGTAAAATAGCCTAGCTAAAGTGGATAATATGTATATGGTGAGAATTATTTAAGTGAAAATACCTAACTATTGTAAGAAATAAAAATAATAATTAATATAGACTTTATGTAACAAATTAACTAATTTTTTTAATCTTGTTTATCTATATAATATTTTTTGTATTCTCAAAATAAACTTGTCGTGTATTTGTATGCGTAGGATTTGTTTACACTAAATATTAAGTTTGAACATTTGTATCGTTTAATATATTTTATAAGCTGTGAAATTGAAAGGTGAATTAAGTAGATTAATTTGTTAAAATTTTATATAAAATAAATAAATAATTCATCGTATTACCTTATTTATATATATTTTTAAAATATAAAAATAATCAAAATTTAAATAATATACTTGCAAATATTACAATTATGTAAAATTTGTGAAGATGATATAATATGCTTTAAAAATTAGATTAGATAATACATACATACATATATATATATATATATATATATATAAGTATATATATTTTTTATTTTGTTGGACTAGGAGTTTATCTCTTTTTTCTTTTATCTATATACACATTGTTTTGTTTTTGGTCTGATTTTGCATAACAGTGTAGTTTCTTTTTTTTCCGTTTTCCTTGGGTTGGTGGGTCACTATTGAATAAGGGCTTTGAGAAGCTGGCCATTCCAGAGGGCTTTTTGCTATTTTATGAGTTTAATGTTGATGATATATATTAGAATAAAAAATTTACATTATCAAGTGTTAACCAATTAAAACATTCGATAAATATAATTTTAAAATTAATTATTATAAAAATTAATAAATTTTATTAATATAATAGTCTATAATTAAATGATAATATAGTTGTATTTCAATTAAATTCTTTCTTTATATAATAAAATCTTTGATATATAGTCCACGTGATTTTTATCTCCATTATAAAGAAAGGGTTTATATTTTCCAAGTACTGAAAATTCAAGATGTTAACATTTCTTTTACAAAATTGAAAATTGATCATTTTGGGATTCCAATGAGATCAGTATTCCAGTTAAGTGATTAAGACCATCACTGCCTGATTAGCCCATAAATGGGAATATGGGTTAAGTGGTTACTTTCTGTAGTGCTGTACAATACATGGTCCCTTCATATAATTTGTATAAAATTTTCATGTATGAAAATAAGGAGAAATTCTAAGACAAGACACCCGACATATAAAAAGTATTATTCCATGAACTTATCAATTTTATTCAAATTGCTGTTACACTCGAACGTTTTTCAAACTAATTTATTGATGAAAATCACTCAAATTAGATACATAACTACTACTTTGATTGTTGCTTCTGACTTATATTGTACCGTATGAAAATCACTCAAAATATTTTTGACTAAATAACATAAAAAATTTGAATAATATACTTTCATAAGTTTAATTGCATATGCTACTTTCATGCATTGGCTAATGATAAAAGTTTCAAAAGGGATCCATCAACTAACGTCAATTTGCTTGATGTCTTGTGTAATTATCGTGTTGCTACCGTAATTACATATACTCAATTAAGATTCTGTTGTTAGATAATTACTTTAATTTTTTGAGTAAACTCTCAGAGTAATTTAATGAAATTGTGAACATAGAGTAATTTAGTTTCTAAGAATTTAAAATAAGACCAATAATTTTGACTTTGTCAAATGTTAATATCTTTCATTCAACTAATAATTTTTGTCATTAAATATTTATTTTTAAGTGACACTTGAAATATTAAAATAATTATGTTTTACACAATTTCAAGGTAATTTTTGACTGATATATATAACTATAATTGTATTCTTTTCCTCTTTTAATGTTGTCACTTTCTCATTGTTGTCATATCCTAAAACTCTCTTTCCTCCTTATCCATGGACTCCACACTTTATCTTTGCCCTCCCCTTCTTAATTTACACATTCCTTATCTATTCTTCAACTTCTTCAATCTCATCATCGCTACTGTCATCATTATGGAGCTTCTATAGCTGATAACATTGCAATGAAGAAGGGAAGACTTCAAGTTTAGACTAGCTTGACATATGGAAGATCTAGGAGTAATAGGGTGGAAGGCAACATTGATGACAATTAAAGCCTATTTGGTGAATATGACAGCGTGTTTAGGCTCTAATGGAGGAGAGATAATGTCCACTAGGAAGGAGAAGAGAGTTTTTGAAGGGGAGTGGTTAGAGCTCGTATTGAGCAAACTGGTCCTTGAGTTTGTGGGAGGAGATGAAAGGTAGTTTTGAGAGAAAAAGAACACACAATCATAATGATTTACATCGATTAAATTAATCCTTAAAATTGTATGAAATAACGTCGTTTTAACATCTCAGTTATTATTAGGTAAATGTTAACACTGTTACGAATAGAAAATGTTAGTTAAACTTAAATGTCTAACATTTAATAAAGTCAAAAATTAATAAATTTATTTTAAAATCCTAAGAATTATATTACTTAACGCCTACAATCTCAAAGATTAATCTACGGATTTAGTCTTAATCTTTTCCTAATCAATCATGTTAAAAAAAAGGTGATAAAACAAATTAGTCAATCTCAGCATGTAATTTAAAGTTAGTCAAAAAGAAATATACTAACATTTTTGTTTTTATTTTTTAATAAATTTTTATGCATGTTTAATGATGTACAATAAAAACTTATATATAACAAATTTTTATTAAAAAATATAGAATATCACTAAATTTAATATATTAATATTATAATGCACTACACTTTTTAATAAAAACTTATTATTTATTAATTTCTTATGTATCATGTATTCTTAACACACGTTAAAAAGCCACTAAATAAAATTTTTAAAAGGCCTGTAAACTAACAAGCCACTAAATATAAAAATTTCAGTTCAACTTATATTTTAGAAGAGTTAAGCGGATAACTACATCAAAACAAACTTATTTTGCCACCTTTATATTAGGGTAAGACTAGTTATGGATGCTTTTTTCGTAATAGTTGTTTACGGTGAAAAATAACAATTTATAAACAAATAATCTAAAAAGCAATTTGAAAATTAGATTTAGGTTCTTTTGAGTTCTTTTAAGTATGTTATTTAATGTAATGTTTAAATTGACGTAATAAAATAGAGTATTAAACAAGAATAATAAGCAATAATTACGTGAAACTAATTAAACATAGAGGTTTTTACAAAAATATGTAAAACAAGAACTAAATTGCAGAAATAGAAATAAGCAAAATGAACTAAAACAAATGAAAAAACATAAATGTGCAGAAATGTAAATGTACGACTTCTAGCAATGGCAAGCAACAATTGTATATCTTTTTATAGCTAGTGTCTAACGCGGTGTAAGTTTTCAACGTGATGAGAATTTTAGGTGCAGTGTCTAGGTGCAAAAAGTTGTCCCCTGTAAAATGTCATTTTGAAGTATTTATAGGCAAAAGTATCACTTTCTCAGTAACTGTTTTCCATGCGTGCTTGCCTTCAACTGCTGCTGCCCATTATCTACGATTGCTTATAATCGTGCTATCGGTTGAGACTCTTTCCGTAATTGCTATTGCTCATTATCTTTCTTTATGTTGTTGGATCTTCGTCTGGTGGTAATTGCTAGTAACCACTTCTGATTCTTGTGTTAACCTTTTGAGTCCTATTATGACTCTTACAGACTTTTTTATTTTTTGAGTAGTTCTAAGAGAAATCAACAAAGCTCATTTAGCATTATGGACTTTTTTGTCATGTGGACTTAGAATATTTTCTTTGCTCATCTCTATTTTTTGAGCAAATCTAGAAGAAATCTGGAACTCAATCTAGCTCGGAGTATTTTCTGACTATTCCCTGTTTTTCGAGCAATTCTGGAGAAGGTCTGGAGCTCAGTTAAGTTTGTAAACTTAGAATATTTTCTAATCACTTACTGTTTTTTAAACAATTCTGAGGAAAGTTTGAGACTTTAAAACTTTCAAAAACTCCTCGAAAGACCTTCGGTCTTGTGAACTTAGAATAATTTTCTTTTCAGTCTTATTTTTTGACCAATTTTAACTATTCTCAGTCTAACGACTAGAAAATCCGTAGGAACTCCTCGAAAAGACCTTTAGAGGTTTGACAAAAACTTCTTAAATAACTCGAAATGTGACATTTTCAATAGAAATTAAGGTTTTAAAAAATCTTCCAATACTTCTTAGGTTAGAGCTTACTTTTCAATAAAGAATGAGATTCCTTCTCTGACTTTTTAAAACTTCTTAAAATGTAATTTATTTAGTATGGGACAGAACTACTTTTTAAATACTCCCAAAACTCCTCGAAGAATTTTTAAGATGAATTTAGGACTTCAATAATTTTTTTAAGTCTTTGATTTGTGAATATGTGAACCTAAGACCCTTAACTTAATAAGGTCTTTATAACTTAGAAAAAATTTTACTTACCCTAAACAATGGCATAACTCATTCTACGTAGAACTCTAGATCAAGATAAATGGCTTTTTGGAATTTGAATTCGATTTTTCATGACTTTTTATGTAGATAATGGTTCTATGCCCCACGAATTATGGGGTCATTGCCAATCTTGATTTGGATATCATAAAGACAACATTTAGGATATTGACTGAGAACAGCTACGAACTAGTGAAATATCAATGCATGATAACCACCAATCTCTTCAAAGATATAAGGATTGACGAAAGAAACTTCATTTTTTTTCTTAATTTTTCTTTAAATATATTTTATCTTATTAAATAGCTGTACGATAATTCAAAGGGTTGGTGGCAATGGTATAAAACTTCATTACATTTGTAGATATGTAATCAATTTATTTAGCAAAAGATTTTATATTCAACCTCTACTATGTGTAAAATTCTCTCTAACCAACAGTAGCATGACACTCAAAATAAGATAGTCTTTAAGTTAATTAGGCTTATAAGTATCTTGTATTCTTTAACACTGGACAAACAAGAAGGCTCTACATTAAAGTCATATTAAATTTGCATATTTATTATATTATACATAATATATTCTTTTAAATGGAGCTTAGATTTTAGTT